GAGCCATGTTCGTCTATCCGTCCGACTACCCGTCTGTCCGTGTGTCCGTATGAACGCTGAGATCTCAGAAACTGTAAGAGATACAAAGTTAAGATTAAGCACGAAGATTCTTGAGGTCCCTACGCAGCGCAAGTTTATTACAGCATCCTGCCACGCCCACTCTAACACCCACAACCCGCGGGAAACTGTATTATTATAAATGCCTTCGTTTGACCTTGTATAACTTATTTTTGTCAATATCTATCAATTAACCAAAGATTTTTTAAATCGGAACATTATTTCGCTATTTATGTAGAAATTTAGGTTATAAGGCCTCACATGGTTTGTGACGCTACTATCAGTTTCTCAACATGCTTCCTCTGACAATATAAAGTATATATATTCTTGATCAAAATCAATAGCGAATTCGATTGATCCATGTCAGTCTGTCCGTCCATCTGTCCGTACGAACGCTGAGATCTTAGGAACTATAAGAGATACAAAGTTGAGATAAGCCACGAAGATTCTTAAGGTCCCTACGCAGCGCAAGTGTATTACAGCCTCCTGTCATGCCCACTCTAACGCCCACAAATCGCGAAAAACTAAAATCGCTGAAATCTCAGGAAATATTATAGCTAAAAAGTTGAAATTCAAAATGTAAAATCTTTAGATGCCAGCGCATATTATAAGGGTACTAATATCCGGCCACGCCCACCCATACGCCCACCAAGCTCAAAAGACGGTTTTCGCATTTTTTAGAAAAGCTGATATCTCGGTAACTATAACTGATAGAAAGTTCGGATTAAGCATGTAGGGTTTTATGATGCTCCCAATGCGAATAGTTATTTTCCGATCAAGCCACAAAACCCGAAAACCCACAAATGCAAAAATCTCGGAAACTATAAGAGCTACAAAGCCACAAAACCCGAAAACCATCAAATGCAAAAATCTCGGACCCTATAAAAGCTACAAAGTTGAGATTAACCACGAAGATTCTTGATCCTGCCACGCCCACTCTAACGCTATAAGAGCTACAACGTTGTGGTTAAGAGTAAGTATTTAAGAGATGCCACTGCAACTTGCCACTAAGTTTCATCCGACCACGTCCACTCTAACGCCCACAAAACGCGGAAAACTGTGGCGCCTATAATATTATTATCAATGCCTTCGTTTGATTAATATTTTAAATTTATATAAAACAGTGACGGGTATCTTATAGTCGCGGTACTCGACTATAGAGTTTCCCCTTGTTTTAGTATTATATTTATATTTTATTATACCCGTTACGCGTAGAGTAAAACGGTATTCTAGATTCGTTGAAAAGTATGTAACAGGTAGAAGGAAGCGTTTCCGACCCTATAAGGTATTATATAATACTAAAACAAGAGGAAACGCTGTAGTCAAGTGCCAGGACTATAAGATACCCTTTACTGTTTTACATAATTTATTTATTAAATGTAAATAAAAATGAACAAATAAATATTAAATAAACAAAATATAGAATATTATAGTTGTAAAGATAGTTAAAAGTCTAAACTCTAAGTAAAAAAAAATTTGTTAGCTTTAAACAAAATTGAAAATGATATTGAAAAATAAAGCAAATTTGACTTTAAAAAAGACACAGCGCTCATTTACCCATACCACAATATCATCCAAACTCATCCAAACAAGTCCCCTGGTGGGACACCGATCTACAAAAACTAAGAAAAAATTAGCCAGGCAAAACATGTGTCGCAATATAAATACAGCCAATATAATAACTTACAAAAAAGCCAACGCAATACTCAAACGAGAAATAAAACAAAAAAATGCAAAGCCCTGCACGAATTTACTTCAGACATAAATCCACAAACTCCAATTCCAACAATATGGAAAAACATCAATCGATTCTGTGGCCTTAAAACTAACACCCAGATCCATTGTCCCATTAACCCTTGCAATACAACCGAAACCCATACAAACAAATATGACATCTCGAAAGCCCTATGTGAATTCTGGTCGAATGCATCACTTAATAATAACTTCCACCCTACTTTAGATCACACAAAGAAAACTTAAACTACAAGACACAGTACATCCGCTCTAACCCAACCCTTAGAATGCGATATTCCTATTATTGAATTGAAAAGTGCCATAAACCAACTTAAAGGCAAAACACCAGGTAGGGACCGCATCAGTTACTTAATGATATGATATGATGGTAAGCAAAGGCTACTTAAACTCTACAACAATATCATTAACACACACATTCCACAGCAATTTAAAGTAAGCAATTTTATACCAATATTAAAACCGGACTCAAACAAAACAGAAATACCTTCATACCGTCCTATATCTTTAAATAGCTGTTTATCCAAGTTAATAGATAAAATAATATCTAAAAGACTATGGTGGCTAGTTAACAATAGCCAACTACTCGATAGTTGTCAAATGGGCTTCAGAAAGGGAAAATCTGTATCTGACTCTGTAGCAACGCTAGATTATCTGACTACCACTACCCTATCCTGATAATTTTTAATAATTTAAATAGATTTTTCAAAAGCATTTGACAAAATAGGAATTCACACAATCATAGCTGAACTCGTTGATTGGAAATTCAAAACATACAATCCCAACCCTTACCACTTGGATCACCACAAGGATCACCAATATCTGTAATACTTTTTGCAATTGCTATACCAAAGTCAATAGAATCATAGATCGACCACAAATCGTTCAAATTTACAGCATGCGCAGATGACTATACAATTATAAAAATACACAATAGAAGAAATACGTCAATAAACATAAATCTAAATAATTACACGTTTGTCTCAAGAAGAAATGCAATTTCAAAGTAGCTAGTACTTTCAATTTAAAAAACGAAAATCGTTAAAAATATTAGGTATAACTATAACCAATAATTATAAATGGGACGCACATAGATCAGTTAGTAATACCAATTTCTAAAAGACTAAATATTCAATTCAGTTTCAACTGCCACATTAAAACCACTATTTATGTAATTATCATGTCAGTTATCATGTCAAAAATTGATTATGGGTTTTTCTAATAAAATAAAAACGATATACCACTCAGCTATTTGAATAGCCTTCGGGACAATTCGCTGCTCACCAATAAACAACCTGCTATACAAAGCTTACATAAGCACTATAGAACAGAGAACTAAACATGCCATATTAAAAAACTATAATTTGATTTCCACCGCTAAGAAAACGCCTCTAAAACAGATTATAAATAAAATGTCAAAAACAAAACGAATGGCCATTAACAATAAAAGATATGATTGACCACTGCAAAACAATACCAGTATTGTTGTACTTCAACAAAACCAAACACACCACCAATAGTATACAATCAAAATTTCCAAGAAATAAAAGATAAAGATGGTAATTTCTTTATAAAAATAATAATAAACATAAATGGGAAATTATTCAATCGAATAATAACAAGAAGAAACACGTTACTGTTTTACACAATTTTAAAATATTTATTTTGCTAGTGGAAATTCACAAAGCGCCACCTATTGTCAGAGAAATGTTAAGTAACTGATAGTGACGTACTGCCCATGTGAGGCTTATAGCCTACATTTTATCGTAAATAGCGAAATAATATTTAAAAAATCTTCAGTAAATAGATAAATATTCACAAAAATATGTTATACAAGATCAAACGTAGAAAAACACTATAATATTATAGACGACACAGTTTTCCGCGTTTTGTAGGCGTTAGAGTGCGCGTGTATCGAGTTACAGTGGCATATTTTAAATACTTTCTACTTAAAACTTTCTAGCTCTTATAATTCCCGAGATGTTTGCATTTTCGGTTTTTCGGGCTTTATGGGCGTTAGTGGTGGGTGTGGCTAAATAGATAAATAGATAAAAACCTACATTCTTAATCCGAACTTTCTATCACTTATAGTTACCGAGATATCAGCTTTTTTACAAAATGCAAAACCTGTCTTTCGAGCTTGGTCTGAGATTTTAGCGATTTTAGTTGTTAAGCGTTAGAGTGGGCGTGGCAGGATGTTGAAATAAACTTGTGCTGCGTAGGAACCTCAAGAATCTTTATGCTTAACTTAACTCTGAACTCTGTACTTCTTATAATTCCAGAGATCTCAGCGTTCATACGGACTGATACTGATCAAGAATGTATTTATATACTTTATAGAGTCGGAAACGCTTCCTGTTACATACTTTTCAACGAATCTAGTATACCCTTTTACTCTACGAGAAACGGGTATAAAAATTTTAAGTCGCTACCAGAAATCAAGTAAACAGAAAATTCCTGCACAGGAAAAGAAAGAGATAAAGTAGATTTGCCTAGGCATAATCTAACTAAAGTTTTTCAGCCAACCGTAAACGAAATCATTCTAAATGATGAGATACAAAAAGTAGTGACCTGGCGAGTAACAGATTCACTATGTTTTTAAAAATGTACATACTACACTCCAAATGTGTTACGAATGATAATAAATTGTTTTTCTTAGTAAAGATGGATCTCAAAATCCAAACATCTGATAATTTCGATTTAAATAAACGTTTTTGGATAAACCATCAAAACTATTGGTGCTGCGAAATTTTATATTTTTCCAGCTCTTGGTAATATCACGAGAGTTTTATGTAATGTAATAGGGACATTTCAAGTGTATGCATGCTTCCCAGAGCATGTGTCATTTTTTTCCAGTGTTCACATTAATAATTAAGATTAACAAATCCGGAATAAATAAATTTCAACCGTTCTCTTTTCGGGGAAATAATCATAATTAATTATATAAAGAAATACATACATAAAAAATAATATATTTATGTAAGTGAAGTGTGGAAGAAGTCTGCAAGAATTAAAAATAAAAAATTGTTTCCATATTCCGCCATCGCCGATATATCACCGACGATATTTTGACGGACATCAAAAATGCTAGAATACTTATGATTGGTATTTTCTTTTTAGTAGCCTTTTTTAGTGGATAATTACGTAGTTATTATTTTTTGAGATCTTTTATGATTCGAGCGACGTTCCCACTTTTAAATTCTTTTTTCAACGTGTCGTAAGCGAGAAAAGTAGGAAGGCAAATCAAGATGAAGCGAGCTCGACGTCCTAATGCTGCAAACAGTAAATCATTCGTTTCCGGTGGTATTTACGTAAGTCTCATTTTGTATTTAATTCGGCTTTGTACCAACTGATTTTATTTTGCAATTGCCGCAGTGCAAATTGCGTGCTGTTTGGAAAATGTGTGTATCTGTTGGGTGCGTTCTGACGTCACCACAAACTGTACCGAAGTGAAAAAAGATAATTGAGTTAGAATCATGCATATTTGATTTGTACAATAACAGAGATTCCGTTTTCATTTAATTTGCAGAGCATAAAATAAAAGTGTGTGTATTCACCCAATTGTGAAAACATTTGCAGTAGCCACAAAAAAGCGTGTTAACCGGAAGTGCAGACCATTGTTCGAGTTCCACCAGAAACCATGATCATTTTATCGCCTTCCACCATATATATTTAACTGTATATTCCTCATCTACACCTATATCTTAAATCTCTCTCTTCGGGTTTATCCACAAATTTCATAATTTCACTCTGCTCGTTTTTCTGACAATTGGATATGACCAGTACTGCGGTAGTTTATAGCTGAGCTTGCGGTTATCGCTAACTTTTATGACTACTGAAAATGCATTCACCCGAAATTGTAACTAAAATTATTAGTTTTGCGTCAGATAGCAATGTCCATTCACTCCACCGAAAGTGCCCGAAACAAGGCGCCGGCATAAGTACAGCCAAGGAATGCAAGACCCCAAAAGACTACAAGAGTCAATTTAATTTTTTTTTATGTTTTTTTCGTTTTAAAGTTGCAAGAGCGATTGCTTTGATTCTATAACTCATTGTCATTTAACTTTTACCCTTAACTTCAATCATGGATGAATTCATTTCGTATTTTGGAATGTATAGAGAAAGTTTTGCTTAACAAGTAATAACAGAAATTATTCAGTTGCAAAGTGGTTTTGTCGGCCTTACATCGAGTTACTAGATCATGAGATCCTTGGCTGAATGCTATGACCGGAGAATCCACAGTAATCGGACTCGTGGCTTCGTTTTGGGGCACTCGGGTCGCAGGAATGGCCATGGCTACATCCTGAACTATGGTTTTTAGTAGACCAGCAGACCAGCATGACGCATCCGGTTTACTTGACGACTTGATGGTTTCCGTTGCCAAGCGAGTCTCTATTTTTGTTGACCATGTGGATCAGCACGCTGAAAGTGATGTTGCCCGGCGGAATTTAGCGACGAAAACAGGCAGAAACCTTTGCCAACTAATTCGCTAATTAAACTCTTTTGCAAACGCAGAACCCCAATGCCATCGACAAGCCTTTGATTCAACAGCCATTGCAATCCATTGATGCCAAAAAGGATCAGGACACTCCAGTAACTGATCATGAGCTGCCGGCTACTGACCCAGTTTCAGTGGCGGCTGAGCCTGTCCAGAAGAGGGTGCCGGACGCAGCTGCCATCTCCGCGAAGCTACCCATGCCAATTATCGTCAAGGAGGAGCCAACAGAGGTATTTGCCGAGGAAGATGGACGCAACGAGGAGTTATCTATAGACATCAGCGTAGAGAAAGGAAGTGGTATCGGCGGAAAGATCCCCTTTAAGAAGATCTTTCAAAAACGCAAGAAGTCCTCTGGTAAGCATAAATGAACTTTTGACCTAGTAATATAAGTGCAAAGCTGTTAGGATATTCAGCAGAGTTTTTGAAAGTATACCTGTCATTTGTAGAGTAAAATTTAAGTTAGTTGATTCCATATATGAATGTCTGCGCGTTTAATATTATTTTAATACCCCTTACTCATAGAATAAAAGGGTATATTAGATTCGTTGAAAAGTATGTAACAGGTAGAAGGGCGCGTTTCCGACCCTATATAGTGTATGTATATGTTCTTGATCAGTTTCAATAGCGAAGTTGATTAAGCCATATCCGTCTGTCCGTATGAACGCTGAGCATGTTGATTAACCAGACAGATTCTTGTGATCCATATGCAGCGCAAGTTTATTTCACCATTCTGCAACGCCCACAAACCGTGGAAATCTGTGGCGTCCATAATATTAAAATGTATGTCTTCGTTTCATCTTGTATAACATATTTTTGTCAACATCTATCGATTTACCAAAATTTTTAAAATCGGAACATTATTTCGATATTTATGTAGAAATGTAGGTTATAAGGCCGTACATCACAATCATTTGGGAAACATGCTTTTTTGACAAAAGGTGACGCTTTGTCCACTTTCCACTATCAAAATTAATATTTTAAAATTGTGTAATACAGTAGGGTATCTTATAGTCGCGGCACTCGACTATAGTGTTTCTTATTTAATATCCGGTCACACCCACTCTATATACCTGTTTGTCGTAGGGTAACGTTTAAGTTAGTTGATTCTATTACAGTCGGCACATAATTTATTCGTACACCCATGAGTTGGAAGTTTATTCCTTAATATCTCGAAATATACGTAACGGAAATTAAAATGTAACATCTCAAATGAAAGATACACATTTCTAGAATATATTTTAAACATAAAATTAACAAGTTTTAACTTTAATACTACATAATTTCCTTAATAACACAAAAAAGTCATTTTACGCACATTCTCATTCTCAACTTATATTTCTGTATCCAACGGTAATCCGCGATTCTTTTTCGAAATATACGTAACGGAAATTAAAATGTAACATCTCAAATGAAAGATACACATTTCTAGAATATATTTTAAACATAAAATTAACAAGTTTTAACTTTAATACTACATAATTTCCTTAATAACACAAAAAAGTCATTTTACGCACATTCTCATTCTCAACTTATATTTCTGTATCCAACGGTAATCCGCGATTCTTTTTTGAACTGTACTTCGAAGCAAACTTCGGTGTACTATTCTCAAAGTTGTTTAGTTAGTTTCGCTGTTTTTTTTTTTGCTGTAATTGGACGAAATGATTCGGGGTCAAGGTTTATCCTTAAATTTTTGTAAAACTATTATAAAATTATATTTAGCGAACCGCAATTAACCCGAAATTGGTAGAAATATTTGCCAAGTCACCTTCCACAAGGCGAAGGTTTATAAAAAAAATACGTTATCACTAGAGAATTTGCAGTAGAACATAGAAAATCTGGAAGGAACCACATATTGACACCACGGGAGGAGCATAAAGTTGTAAATACGGCATTACAAAATCTCAGAATAACATCTACAACAATTCTTAAAACCCTAGAGAAGCCTTCAGAAAAAAAATTTTGTTCCCAAACCATCCGGAACACCCTGCACAATGCTGGTATACATGGTAGAGTTGTTCGTAAAAACCCATCGATTTCTGATTATAACAAAAAATGGGTTTGGAGATCGCAAAAGTGCATGTAAGCAAGCCGGAATTGTTTTGGGAAAACGTTATATTTATTGACAAATCAAAAATTAAAAATTTTGGACACGGCGGTCCTTTTAAAGTATGTCAAAAGGCTAATTAAGCCATGAAGGAAAAGATTTGATTCCAACTTTTAAGCACGTTGGCCAGAATGTGATGTTTTATGGGTTTACAGCTGCAGGTGGAGTTGGTCGAATGGTCTTTTTGGAAGATAAAATTAATAAATTAATGTATAAAGACATTTTACGACAAAATTTAATTCCAAGTGCCCTTAAACTTGGACAGAATCCAGCGTCTTTCGTATTTCAATAAGATAACGATCCGATATATTTGTCGTATTTAGTGCAATAGTGGCTTTTATATCACTGCAAGGAGCAAAAACCGACTCTACAATCACCAGATTTGAACCACATAGAACATTTATGGGATATCCTCCAGAAAAGGACAACATATCCTCCAAGGAATCCCTAAAAACCGCATTAATACCTGAATGGGATTCAACTGATGCTGACGAGACGAGTAACTTTATAAAAAGCATGTGTCGACGTTTACAAGCTTCCATTAAGGCCAACGAAGGACCCACTAAAGATTAAAGTCCTTAAATCTTTGGAATTGTTGTTTTTTTTTTTCATCATTTTATGAAGTGTATGAATAATTTTTGTGCGTAAAAAAATGACTTTTTTGTGTTATTAAGGAAGTTATGTAGTATTAAAGTTAAAACTTGTTAACTTGTTGTTTAAAATATATTCTTGAAATGTGTATCTTTCATTTGAGATATTATTTCCGTTACGTATTTTTTGAGATATTAAGGAATAAACTTCCAACTCATGGGTGTACGAATAGATTATGTGCCGACTGTATGTCTGCGCGCCGCATTTTTTTTTTAATACCCGTTATTTGTACAGTAAAAGGGTATATTAGATTCGTTGAAAAGTATGTAACAGGTAGAAGGAAGCGTTTCCGACCCTATAAAGTGTATATATTCTTGATCAATATCAATAGCGAAGACGATTGAGCCATGTCCGTCTGTCTGTCCGTATGCACACAGATCTCAGCATATGTAAGAGATAGAATGTTGAGATTAAGCATGAAGATTCTTGAGGTCCCTACTCAGCGCAAATTATTCCCGCATCCTGACACGACCACGAAAAACTAAAATCGCTTAAATCTCAGAAACTATTAGAGCTAGAAAGTTGAAATTCAGTATGTATAATCTTGCAATGCCAGTGCATCTTATTGTAATACCATTATCCGGCCACACCCACTTTTACGCCCACCAAGTTCAAAAGACTGTTTTCGTATTTTCTAGAAAAGCTGATATGTCTGTAACTATAAATGATAGAAAGTTCGGATTAAGCATGTATTGCTTATGATGCTTCCAATGTGAATTGTTTTTCTCCGATCAAGGCATGCCCACAAAACCCGAAAAACCAATAATGCGAACATTTCGGGAACTATAAGAGATAGAAAGTTGTGCTTAAGAAAACGTATTTAAGAGATGCCACTGCAACTTGCCCCTAGTTTTCATCTGGCCACGCTCACTCTAACGCCTACAAATCGCGGAAATCTGTGGCGTCTTTTGTATTATTACGAATGCCTTCGTTTGACCTTATATAACTTATATCTGTTAATCTCAACTGATTTACCAAAGAACTTTTAAATCGGAACAATATTTCGCTATTTATCAAGAAATTTGTGTTATAAGGCCTCATATGGGCAGTGACAATACTGTCAGTTACTCAACATGCTTTCTCCGACAATAGGTGGCGCTTTGCGAATTTCCACTAGCACAATGAATATTTTAAAATTGTGTAAAACCGTAACGGGTATCTTATAGTCGCGGCACTCGACTATAGCGTTTCTTGTTGTTTTTTTTTTTTTATTAATTTTCAGAACGCACTCGAGACAAGAAGCAACGCCAGAACCGTCAATTGCGAAAGTCCATGCTGCCGAAGAACGCCTTGATGGCCCTCAACGAGGTGAAGGGCGTGACAATTAGCGATTTCACTATCGACAGCAATTCCGATGGAGGATTTACTGCGGCAGTCACGGTGAACTCTAATCAATATGAGGGCAAGGGTCTTTCCAAGATGTCCGCTAAAAATGCTGCCTGTGAAAAGGCATGGCGCGACTTCATCATTGCAAAGATGACGCCCAAGCCTCCCAGACTTCAAGCAAGAAAAGGTGAAAACGAAGAAGAAGCCATGGAAACCAACGAGGAAGATGTTGACGGGCCGGAGGATGATCTGCCAATGCTAAATCTGGCGTCTTTTGCCATTTACAAATTGTTTGCGGAGTGGGAACGCGAAGGCTATGTCGTTCCCGAGATGCATCCATCGGTCAATGCTGCACCTCCAGCCGGAGGGGAATCCGCACCGTCTGTTCCCGCGGTGCCGAAGGAGCCTAAAAAACCGCTGGTGCGCACCGAGTTACCCTCCGGTTGGGAAACCATGCACCCAGCCACTGTTCTTTGCATTGTAGGCTAGATCACAAGTAGTATTGTGTACAATCACTAATTAATTCTTCTGCAGATGCGCCCAGGGCTCATTTACGTGGACCACGGAGTCTCTGGAGATAAGCCCAATGTGTTGCAACATCTTGGAATCATGGTCGATAACCAGGAGTACACCGCTCACGGGAGATCCAAGAAGATTGCCCGTCGCAATGTAGCCGTGGAAGTGTGCAACACTTTGTTCGGAACGAACTACTCGTATAGTGACACTTCATCTTAAGAAGTATATTAAACGACATTACATACCCCACGTAACGAAATTATCTTTAAACCCTGTGCCTGATTAAAAAAAATGAGTAACGGGTTAATCACTTGCAATTTCAAATGTTAAATTTATATCTAACATTTGAAAAAAAAATTATATTTTCTATTTCTAACTAGAGGTGTGAGTCGTATTCAAACTTCTTATTAATTGCGCAAAATAAAATTTTTTTACCAATATCAAACATTGACAAACACAAGGTTAACAATAACATGTAAAAGATCACAATATCTATTTTTCAGAGCTCGTCTCTGATGTCTCTGTTATTCAAAGCATTTTACCATTATTTAATTTCGTAAAAAATATTTAAATATTTCTTGAAATGTTTTCAAGAATGTATAAAAAATGATCCAGTTTTCTGTTATTGAAACTAAAAAATTCAGTATTGTTTCTATCTTTCAATTATATTTTTCTAGTTCAAAAACATTGATATGCAGAATTATAATTTAACTTCGGTAAACGTTAAGTTGTAAAAGTAATATTTGGACATCCACAATTATAAATGTATTTCAGCATTAAAACATGCCAAGATTCTGCAAAATCGCTTAAACTTATTTTTTCTGTTAACTATATAAAGAAAAATTAAGTAAAACCCATAAATGATAAGAACTGTGAATAAGTACCCAATAATTTATGTACGTCTTTTACAACATGGCAGCCGTTAAGTGGGGGTATAAAGATTAAATATTAAACACAAATAAAAATTACTCAAAAAAAAACAAATACCCCAATGTGTAAATATCTCCAATAATAGCATATTTCATATATTCAGTAATAGTAGGCTACATTCTTAACATTACTGCGTTTAAATTTTTTTGATATCTCTGCTGGTTTAGTAGCAGTATCAAATTAAAAATTCGATTTTTTCTTGCACGAAATAAGCTTGGATCCACTGTAGATCAAAGGAGTAAGAAATAGTTTGCCATACTCGTTCTCCCAAAATGATAGCGGTTTGTTTACATGCTCATTTGCGAACTCCAAAAGCTTTTTTCTGTTTACATCAAAAATGAAAGGTTTTCCAATAACTGTCAATTTCACGATAACTGATATTCTCTAAGTATATTTTTATTAAAATTTTTCGCAAATCTAGGAATAAATATTGACCCCCACCCATTTCGTCCAATTGCAACAATAAACGCAGCGAAACTAACAAAAATAAAAAATGTAATAGCACACTCAAGCCAACTCTGAGTAGAGTCCAAAAAAGAATAGCCGATTACCGTTGCATTCAGAAATAGAAGTAAAGAATGATAAGTGTACAAATAATTTTTGTGCGTAAAAAACGACTTTTTTGTGTTATTAATGAAATTGTCAAGTATTTATGTTGAAACTTGTTAATTTTAGTTTTGAAATGTATATCTTTCGTTTCAGATATTGCATTTTAAATGCCGTTACGTATTTCTCGAGATAGGCATGTGGGGGTGTAGGCATGTAGATTCCTAAAATCCCTACTAGAGGTCAGTATATTGAGGCCCGGGCCCGCACGAACGCGAAACTTTTCACCAAGGCCCGGGCCAGGGTTTTTTATTTTCATGTCATTGACCGGGGTGACGATGATGGATTGTGCAAGTCCTATTTCTAGGGCGCGCTTGTTTGCGAGTTCGTTTTCTTTGAGTCACTGTCAATAAACCTAAAATTCGTGTTTGTTTCTTGTTTCAAAAAAATACATAGGCTCTCAAACCGACTAATTTAAAACAGAAAGATATTTTATTATGCATTAACGTGCTACTATATTTCTGGGAAACAGTAGCTTGCATCTTGAAGTGGACACTATAAGACTGATTTATTGTGAGTGACTAGGTTGCGAAAGCTGGTGCTCCGGTGCGTAGGAGTTCAACATCAAATTCGAAATACTCATTCGGATCAGTACTTTATCAGATTGCTGATCGGAAAGGATCGCCGCAGGCTCATGCATTTCTCCCGATCGATGAACAGCGCATTGACCTTGTTTCGTAGATCAACCTCCAGGGTGCAGCGCGTTTTCAACAGACCTTGGTGCGTGGCCTCCGCTTCCTGTAGCTTGTAGTGCAATGTCTCTACAGTGCCCTGAATGTCCTGTACTTCCTGGACAAGGCGGTCCTGGGCATGGTCCTTGCACAGCTCGACGCCCTCCCGGTGGGACCTGGCCTCCAGACGGGTCTGGGCCACCTTGAGCGGCCCGGACTTGTCCTGAATGGCCTTTTGCAGTAGGAAGAGGTGTTTCTCCATGTCAAACAGTTCCTGCTGCACCTTCTGCAGATGCAGCTGCACCCTGTTCTTCGCCTCAGCCATTTCCTGCGATCGTCGGTCGAATGCGTTATTTGTGTTGCTCCAGAAATCCCACACGGTGGTAGCAACAGAGTTGACTACGCTCTGGGCATCGCTCCTCAGTTGGGAGAGTTTTGCCCGCTCTGCCTGGGAACTGGAAGTACAGTAACAGAACAAATTATTACAAATTACAAATGCGAAATAAAAGATAAATACTGCTTGCGATTTATTTCAGGGGCTACTTTGGAAGATCTGTTTAAGCAAAAGGAAAATATGTATGTCGGCACATACATATGTAAATACAGTGGCTCGCAACTAGGAAAGATAACTCAAAAATGTAAATGCATTATTTTAGGTATTAGGTGTTTTTAAACTGGTCCTGGTCCAAAATTTTTCAAAAATGCCCCATAAAAATGAAGGCTCGTGATTGGGATGGTGTAATAGAAAAATGCAGACAATTTTATATAGCCTAAAACTTAACCCTGCCTGCGATTGATTTTTATCCAACTAAAAAACTCCAAAAGCTCTTACCGGCGCACGTGTTCGCTGCTAGCCTGAGCCCAGGATTCCTGGGTGCTGACCGAGGGATCGAACTTCTCGATGCCGCCATAGTAGGTTATGCCACGGCTGTGGTTGTTTAGCTGATGGCACATGGAGTCGATTCCCAAGGAGGACTCCTTGTGGGCCACGTCGTCCTCGAGAAGATGCTGGGCGCCGCGGCAGTCGAGTGCCTGCTTCGCAATCTTCTCATGCAGACCGCCCAGCCGGTCGCGAGAGTTCCTAAGGTTATTGATCTCGACAAGGAGTGCCTTCTCGACGATGTCGTGCACCTTCTCGGTGCCCTGTCGCGACTCCCGATGAAAGAGGCACTCCTGGGCGATGTGCAGTGGGATCTCCAGGTCAAGGAGCGCCTTACCGCACTGCCGCTGCAGCTCGTTGATGTCCGACATTTCTGCTATCAGCTTTTCCAGCTCCGCATTCAGCTCATTACGCCAGAAGGTTAGGTCGGTGATTCTCTCACCTAACCGCCGGCCGGCATCTCTTTGGCCCGAGGTTGCCTTCTCATCCGTCTCCCTCATCAGACGCACTGCGTCATTGCGCATTCTCTCTGAAAGGTTACTAAAGCACACGGAAAAAATATAAAATAGTTATACAAAATATTAAAGTATAGAAAGTATAACTGTATGTACATCGTCAAGTGGTAGAACTGAGTTGAAGAAATTTTTAGGTCCACCTTCACCATTTTTATAATGTGGGCCTGTTCCCGGGCGGACAAAGCCTTGGTCGTCCGGTGTGTTTTTCGCTTTCCAAAGAAGAAGCTCCCTTAAACGGCCTATGATGTGCGTATGTGGGTCGCACATAACGTCCTACATACTCTGCCACATCCTCCTCAATCCCATTGAAGATTTGTGGGAAGGAGCTGGACAGGCGCGATAAAAACAAAGTCCGGGCTGAAGGTGGCTCTAATAGAAGAGGGGCAGAAACAACCCAAAATTTCGTTTCTTCGATGCCAAGACGGTTGGAAGCCTTTATAAAACAAAATGGCTTACCCACAAAGTATTTTCATTTATTTTTAAGTTTTTCAATACGTGTAATAAGTGTGCCAATAATTTTGTTAAGGGAAATTCACCTCTTATTTATGTTATTTAATTTTTAAAAAGCAACCATTGAAGGTAAAATGTTGAAATAAATTTTGTCGTGTTATGTTTTTATAATATTATATGTATACATTTTTGTTTATTTAAATATATGCATTTTAAGGGGAGAAATCGTGCCTTAAAGTTCATGAAGCCTTCTGTGCCAATATGGTCTATAGAAAAAGAACAAATCAATATATGTATACATATATGTACATATGTACGAATATAAGTTCATATGTACATATGTACATACATATGTATATCGCCTAAACACTGTCCTCTACAAAGTATCTTTAAAGATTTATAATATGACGTCGATTTTTGAAATTGTTTTTTGTCTACACAAATCTGTAAGTACATTTGAGATATGAGTGTTTAAACGAATTCTAGAATATAAATTACTCTTTTACTTTCTAAGTTACGGATATAAAAAATAAGATATGAATATTGAAATATGTATTCATGAGTTTAAATTCACTTACCGATTCATGTTGGACTCCGAGTACTTGGTCATATTGTTGTTGTACCACTCGTTGCTAGTGTACCGTGTGTAGAGGGCGGCCCGGGCGGCATGCTGAGGATTACGATCGAATCCGGTGACCAGATTGGGAAATATCATCCCGTCCGTCTTCATGCCCTTGGGCAGGAAGCACTGCTTGGTCAGCTGGTTGGTCACCGGCTGCTCCGGCAGGTGTTTTACCTGGATGAGTTCATAGGCCATCGCTGGTCGCCATGGGTGCTTTCTGGGTGTCTCGTATGCTGCGCCAACTCTCGGCGGGATAGAGGGTCCCATGACGGGCTCCATGCAGGGCGGAGCACCCGCCTGGCTCCATGGCTGCAATTGAGAATACATGACCGTGGTTGGCGGAATCCCCGATCCTCCCACTCCGCCACTACCACCATTGTGAGCCATTGTGGTCGGAGGTTTTCTTTTGGATCGGTTGTGAAGTGTAGACTTAGTGTACAGAAGCTTGAATCGTGTCACTAGTAATTTGTGCCACTTAAAATTTAGACTGATTGCTTAAAATTTATTGACGAACTCAAAAAAACACGCACAGATTCATACGTTCACTTCCAAGGAGCGGAAAAAACTAAATACATTTTTGTTTAGGGGCAGCTGACATTTATACAACTTCCGGGAAGGCCTGCCTTGATTGTTAATTTTTAGTTTCGTAACTAAACTGAATGTTCATTGTATATCAACTTTGATTTTATTACTAACTTTTAGTTTCAATAAGCTTTATCAGATTTAGTTCACATATTTTAATAAGCTCGTTTTTCCAATTGTTTCTATCAATCCAAAAAAAAATGATGGAAAATATAATAATATATGACAAATATGCGCATTCGAGTAGCTTAACCGTGATACTACCCAGTATTAATTCTTTTTTGAAACATAGATTTTCCATTCATTAGAAAAGCTGTTATCTAGCCCAAACATATGAATGGGCATTTTAATACTCGTTACTAGTGGATTAAAGGGTATATTAGATTCGTTGAAAAGTCTGTAACAGGTAGAAAGAAGCGTTTCCGACCCTATAAAGTATATATATTCTATAGCGAAGTCGATTAAGCCATGTACGTCTGTCCGTATGAACGCTGAGACTATAAGAGATACAGAGTTAAGATTAAGCACGCAGATTCTTGAGGTCCCTACGCAGCGCAAGCTTAGCATCCTGCCACGCCCATCACCCAAACCGCGAAAAACTGTGGCATCTATAATATAATATTATAATGTTTTTCTTCGTTTGACCTTATATAACACATTTTTGTAAATATCTATCGATTTATCAAAGATTTTTCAAATCGGCACAAAATCTCGCTATTTATTAGACTCGCGGCACTGGACTATAGCGTTTCTTCTTGTTTTAGTGAAGTTATTTTATTCAGATACGCTAAGTCAAGATTTATAGGCTTAGAGTTCAAACTAAGTCATGTACGAGCATTCGACATGTGTTTATTTTAAGGGGTCAAAAGAACCCTTTCACTTTTCGAATGGATATATGTATGCCTGCATTTACATTACACATCATAATAATTTATTTTAGAATGACTTTGTAAAATGCAGTAAGTCCTGAGGAGTCAATAGTCTTTAAATTGTTTTAAAAGTGCATGTCTACTCTACAATATTTAAAAGTCATAATTGGATCCTATAATTCAGACTCAACGCATAGTTATATAGGAAGCATGCTATAAGGTGTACAAAGTAAATTGCTGTGATTAAAACGATTACTATGGTATAACATGGAATAATGGGTTAAAGAAATGTGGCCGGTACATATGACTCCATTAGGTTTCGATGATCCTTGCGCTCGTTGTACTCGTTCATGTCAGCGGTTGGCCACTTGTCCAGCAAGTTGTCCTTAACCAGGCGATGATCAAATATGCGATTCTCGAGATATGAATGCTTATGGAACTTAAGCACCTCCTGACCTTTTAGTGGTGCCATTGTGCAGGCGGGAGACCCCCTTTCGGGAATGAAAGCACTCACTATCGGTACGCTGGATCGCAACAGCAAGTTCTGAAGGGTTTCGGGAGCCTTTTGTTGCGACTTCGGGTATCGTTGACTCAAATAATGATCCTCATTGGCCCAGCAGAGCATTGGTCGATAAGGCGTCTATTTAAATTACCAACTTGATTTTCTCGGAACTCCGTTTACTTTGGGTTTACTTTTCGGTCTTACAACTCTGGTTACAGTGGCCTATAACTTCTAGTTTGACTCTAGGCAGTCAGATTTATTGATTAAACTGGTAGCTTGGTAGCGCAATCGCTTGGCAATGGTTTCTCTACAGCGATTTGTGAAATCAATGCGAATGAAACGGGCTTATTGCCTCACATGCCATAGAGTGACAAAAGGGGTCACAGACCCGCGAAAAGGAATTTTCGAATTACTGAGTACGGAATAATTTATGAAGGTAACTGATAAATTTGAAGTGGGACCCATTCTCCACCAAAAACCATATTCGCCAATAGTCTACTGTATGATTTTTCAAAAACTCTTTACTAAATTAAAGTCAGGAGATTGGGCTGCTGTAATCACCACATAAGGACCATTATTAATAAGCCAAAACTGTGTTTTCAGATCGTTGTCCTATTAGAACCGAAAAGATGGCGTATGCAAAGTGTATTTGGACCTGGGAGATTTACTTTCAGGATCTCCCAATACATTTTCTCATCTCATCTCATTCCATTAATAACAAGAAGAAACCGTATAGTCGAGTGCGGCGACTATACGATACCCGTTATTCATTCATTCATTTTGCTAGTGGAAATGGACAAAGCGCCACCTTTAGTCAGGAAAAGCATGTGATTTCCTGTATTTCTTAAAAAATAGCAACATTATATTTCAATTTGAAAAATCTTTGGTAAATCGATAGATATTAACTAGAAATATTATAGAACTCCCTAGCTACTATAGTTACCGAGATTTAAGCGTTTTCGGGTTTCCACATTTTGTGGGCGTAGACAGATGGGAAAAATAAATACGCATAGGGGGCATAATTAAAAACTAAATGCCAAATCCCAACTTTTTATCACTTATACCGAGATCCGAGTTACCAAGTCTCCGCGTTTCTACAAAATGCTAAATCCGCCTTTCGAGCTTGGTGGGCGCAAGACTGGGCGTTGCCGAATAGTGGTTTCACCTTAAGATGCGCTGGCATCTCAGGAGTATATGTACATGTGAAGTATTGGCAGTAGTAGAAGTTGGCAGTCCTTACTCATATCGGTAGGAGCCTTCTTTCAACAGTCTTCAGCGATAGTCCATCACTCATAAAGAAGGAGCGAGTCTTGAATCAGCGAAAAAGTGGAGTTGCTAAATTGTTGTCTCAACCCCTTTGATCATTATAATCAACACTTTTGTAAACATTTATCTTCATATCTATCTAAATAAACTATTGATGATAGTCCCATTATCTTACATACATACTTAATCTTTTCTAGCTCCAATAGTTTTTCACTCTACGAGTAACGGGTATAAAAACATGGTTGCACAGTAAATGTTCTGCACGTAATGGAGTAAACATTCTGGTCCTTAGAGTAAAAAATTCTACATGTTTACCAATTGAAGCGTGTTTGTAGCTTTAAATAGCAGAAATCAAAAAGTGAAAATTTAAAAAATGTTTGATATTTGTTTTACATCGAAGATCGAGTCAAAAATACCTCCATCGGGTTAAGCCAATTAAAGATGCTATCCGAGAAAACAATGAATTTGCTATAGAGGCAAGTAGTGCTTCGTCAGATCTTGCAAGGGATAGACAATAAGGCAAACCCATCAGCATCACACAATGCTGACCAAAATTGGCGTCATTAATAACGAATACTTTAAAGATAAAATAAGACACTACCATGGAACTCATCAAAAAATATAAAGCGTCACGCCATGGCAAGTACATCAAAAGCAGAAGCCTAAAAGAAGATGCATCAAATAGAAGCCTGAGCCCAGTAGTCAGCTTGGTGGAGCTCGTGGACAAAAGAGCCGAGAAGATGAGGCAACACATAAAAGAAGTGTATGCCGACTGGAGCGCAGCAACATGGAAGAGATCCTTGATCACAAGGAGGAGATGAACTTCCTTTGGTCAAAGGTACAGATCACACTTTCAGAATTAGAGGCAAAATATGAATCATGTGCCTTTGACATCGACATGATCGATGAATTAGGATGCAAAGCCAGCTTGCTATCTAAGAAAATTGATAGAAAAATAAGTGACTTGAGCATCATAAAAGAAGATATTCCGGAGCTACCAAGAGTGGATCTTCCTCAATTTAATGGAAATCTAAAAGAGTGGCCCACATTCTTCGAATTATTCTCCGAGATGATTAATAGCAGAAAAGACATCAGTGACACAAGGAAACTATATTACCTAAAATCATGCCAAAAAATACCTATAAAGGAGAAGCCAAAATGGTAGTCGGACATTTGATAAATGGATCAGCTGATAGCTATAACGCGGCATGGGAGCTAATATGCAAGCGCTACGAAAACAAGCGCAAAATATTTGCTGACCGCGTCAACCAACTGTTGGAATTTATTGAGCAATTTTACAACTCAATAGATTCTGTGCAAAAAAGTGTCATCTATGTATAAGCAAAAAAAAACGAGCCATAAAATATGCCATTTTTGCCAAATAGAGCAGAAACAGTCAAAAAACGCAAAGAATTCGTGTTCAAGAACTCGCTATGCAATAAATGTTTGGGAACCCACACCTTTAAAAATGTAAGAAAAATTGGACTTGCACACGATGCTCCAGGGCCATCAAATCCATGAAAAATAAGGCCGGTAACTATGAGCAATTAAGAGCCCTAATTGATGGAGGCTCCAAAAAAATCTTATATCAGAGGAAGCAGCAGCTAATAGTTCGGAAAACAAAGAGCAATATAAAAGATCAAGGCATCTCAGAAAGCACCTTTAAAGGAACAACGCAAGCCTTGGTATTTCCAAAGCTACAAAGAGCTCTACCGAGCAGAAAAATTGAGATGGATGTTAATAAAGCAAAGTGGCTATGCATTATGCACTATTTGCCACACCAAGCAGTCATTAGACCCAACAGCTTAACTACAAAACTTCGAGTAGTTTTTGAGGCTTCAGCCAAAACATCCAATGGATTAAGCCTAAATTATGTAATGTTAGTTGGCCCTAAAATTCAAAAGGACATCTTTGACATTTTGTTAAATGACAAGTCCTACAGTAAATGTTCTCCACGTAAAGGTGTAAACATTAAATGACATATAATGAAATATATTATATATGACACATAATAAAATAATAATGTCGTCAAAAAGTAAGCTCTGAATGACACGAACAACAGCTTTTGTGGCACAGTAGCAAGTAAGGGGTATGAATCAGAAGTGGAAATCAGCAGTAGCATTATTAGCTGCTTTTAAAGAATATTTTATTTAAGTCATTCAATTCTTGCTTAAATTACTGTCCTCTATCTAAAGGCGAAAACCGTCTTTTGAGCCTTGTGGTCGTATGGGTGGGTGTGTGATAATAGTACCACTATAAGTTGCGCTGGCATCCCAAGAATATACATACTGAATTTCAACCTTCTAGCTCCTGAGATTTCAGCGTTTTAGTTTTTTGTGATTTTTGGTTGTTAGAATGGGCGTGGCAGGATTCGGAAATAAACTTAAACTTAAACTAATCTTCATGCTTTTTATCTCCTATAGTTCCTGAGATCTCAGCGTTCATACGGACAGTCGGACATGGCCCAATCGCCTTCGCTATTGATACTGATCAAGAATATATATACTATGAAGGGTCGAAAACGCTTCCTTCCACCTGTTTTACACTTTTCAACGAATCTTATATACCCTTTTACTCTACCAGTAAAGGGTATAAAAATTAAAACGGAATTTATTATGTACAACAATAACACCAATGCTTACCACCTAATGACAGAGACTGAAGTAAGTCACTGTCTTCTCGAAGATGAGGATACTTATCTATGTGAAGGAAGTTGGGACTGAAAAGATTCAAATGACCAGAGCTGTGAAGTATCACCCATCAAGTCGAGCAATAGGCAAACATGTAAAAGGATCGAATATGAAGAAGATGTATTCTTGAAGAAGCTGAATGGAAATAATACCATTGGCTGTTCAAGATATTTACAAATATGTGTGCCCACATAACATAAGACATAATAGACACCCTAAAGGATGTTCAGCAAGGATTGTTCAAATTCCCATCATAACACCTCAAGAAGTAAGGTCAACAGATGCCGAAAGATACCCAGATCATTTCATCAAGGTGGGGAGTCAAAAGGACTCGTGAATGCCAACACCACTTCACAACGTTATGGTCAATAACTCAATAGAGCTACAACAATTACAACAAAACATAAGGGACTTAAACAGTAAAAGGGAGATTTAGTGTTTCACACAATGAATGGACACATATCCTTAGATTTAGTAATAATAACCATAGCCTGTATCCTCATATACGTGAAGAAGAATACAAATCAGAGGCAGCAACTAGCGATCACATTCTCTGGCCCCCGCAGAATGTTCAAACATGAACATGAGACGACCACCAAATAAGATGATATCACATTACTATATTCCGCATGTGTATTTAGGATTCCGAAGAGATTGCCTTATCTCGTTGTTATTTCAAAAGCACGGCGTTAGCACATAAGTATTTTAGGATCATCCCGATATGACCTTATTGCGCTGTTGTCTTACAAACACAGCGCTAGTACACAAGTAATTTAAGATAACGTTGTATCCTTAAATACTCAGCATTAGTTTAGGTTTAGAAATGAATAAAAGGAGAGCCGCTCCTTCCAAACGGCGTAGTACAACCAACATCGTCAATGCGTTTGGATATGAATGACAAGTGCTGTATATATGACACATAATAAAATAATAATGTCGTCAAAAAGTAAGCTCTGAATGGCACGAACAGCTTTTGTGGCACAGTATCAACTAAGGGGTATAAATCAGAAGTGGAAATCAGCAGTTGCAATATTAGCTGCTTTTAAAGAATATTTTATTTAAGTCATTCAATTCTTGCTTAAATTACTGTCCTCTTATTACACTTTTTCTTTTTTTTTTACGCGACTTCCAAACTCACTGACGATGTTGGTTGTACTACGCCGTTTGGGAGGAGCGGCTCTCCCTTTATTCATTTCTAGACCTAAACTAATGTTGAGTTTGTAAGGCTCCAGCGTTATCTTAAAATACTTATGTACTAGCGCTGTATTTGTAAGACAACAGCGAGATAAGGCCATCTGTTCGGGATGATCCTAAAATACTTATGTGCTAACAGCGAGAAAAGGCTATCTGTAGGATGTAGTAATGTGATATCATTCCCACGATAGTGTAGATGCGCTGTACTTTAGTTTAAGTACAACCAGATGGATATGATTGCCTTATCTGGTGGGCGTCTTATGTTCATGCTTGAACAATAATTATTGTTAGACTCCTAAAGGAGAATTTCAATATATAAACACCAGTAACAACAAAAGAACATTATTATTTTGGTATAGAAATAAGATTATTGACTTCGACTATAAATAATTTGTAATTTTAATCACTTGATGCTATTTTTGCAAAATGTATTGATTAATTGATTAGAAAAATTACGGGCCCTTACTTAGGTGTGAGTGAATGAAGTCTCTTTTTTAAAGTGCACATATTTTTATACCTGTTACTCGTAAAAGTGTATACTAGATTCGTTGAAAAGTATGTAACAGATAGGAGGAAGCGTTTGCGACCCTATAAAGTATATATATTCTTGATCAGGATCAATAGCGAAGTCGATTGAGCCATGTCCGTCTGTCCGTCCGTCCGTCCGTCCGTCCGTCCGTCCGTCCGTCCGTCCGTCCGTATGAACGCTGAGATCTCAGGAACTATAAGAGATAGATAGTTAAGATTAACCATGAAGATTCTTGAGGTCCCGGGACAGCGCAAGTTTATTACAGCACCCTGCCATGCCCACTCAAACGCCCACAAATCGCAAAAAACTAAAATTGCTGAAATCTCAGGAACTATTGGAGCTAGATAGTTGAAATTCAAAAAGTATAATCTTTAGATGTCAGCGCATCTTAAAGTGGTGCTACTATCCGGCCACACCCACCCATACGCCCACAAGGCTCAAAAGACGGTTTTCGGATTTTCAGAAAAGCTGATATCTCCGTAACTATAAGAGATAGGAAGTTCGGATTAAGCGTGTAGGTTTTTATGATACTCCCAATTCGAATTCTTTTTTTCAAGCCACTCCCACTCTAACGCCCACAAAACCCGAAAAACCAAAAATTCAAAAATCTCGAAAACTATAAGAGCTACAAAATTTTGCTTAGGAACACGTATTTAGGAGATGCCTCTGCACCTTGCCACGAAGTTTCATCTGGCCACGCTCACTCTAACGCCCACAAACCGCGGAAAACTGTGGCGTCTATAATATTATTATGAATGCCTTCGTTTGACCTTGTATAACTTATTTCTGTTAATATCTATCGATTTACCAAAGATTTTTAAAATCTGAACATTATTTCGCTATTTATAAGGAAATTAAGGTTATAAGGCCTCACATGGGCAGTGACGCAACTATAAGCATACTCAATATACTTCCTCTGACAATAGTCGCGGCACTTGACTATAGCGTTTCCTCTTGTTTTTTTTTGCATGACGTGCTACCCACCTTTCGCCCAACCGACCGAGGGGCGCTGTATGTCTATCGTACGGCTCGGAACACAGGGTGAAAAATGTTACAAACTATGAAATTAAGGGTGTGCTAAGTGGTTTAGTAAAGAAATTTTTAAGTTAATAGGAGAAGTATTGGTTGTAATGTGGTAGAGGGCATTGTATCTCGAACATAATACCCTAAATGGTTCATAAAGGACAAAGTTCGAGCTGCAATGCCCTAAGGAAAAGGGAATATAGTTTCTAGTAAGCCTAGCGGGCACATTGATGTTTAAGCGACCTATTAGGCCTTGGCTATCAATATCTCCGCTAATAAGATTGTTAATAAAGACAACGCCAAGCATTGTCCTACGTTTAGCAAGGGTCGGTAAGTTTATTAGTTGTAGTCTACTTTTATAAGAGGGAAGATGTAAGTTTGCATCCCAATTTTGGCAACGAAGAGCAAATATAAGAACATTTTTTTGACAGATTCTATACGGTCTTGGTGGACCGCATACTGGGGGTCCCCGACACAAGATTTATAATCTAAGATCGGACGAACGAGAGAGACAAATAAAGTTTTAGTAACTAAAGGGTCATTGAATTCTATCGACTATCTCTTTATAAAGCCTAGCACACCTCTGGCTTTGTTAACCGTGGAAAATATGTGGTCGGAAAATATAAGTTTTGCATCCAATAGGACACCTAAGTCGTCGACTAGCTTAATTCTATCAAGGGTTACACCACAAAGTGTATAAGAGGTTATTAAGGGCTTAGAGCGACTGAAGGCCATTACATTACACTTAGAGCCGTTAGGATTTAGTAAATTTGCAGAGCACCAAAATTGAAAGTTGTTTAGGTCAAATTGCAAATTTCCCTGGTAGGACGATTGTTTATATTGAATACAAAGATTCACATTAAAATTAAAATTATCATTAAAATACATTAAAATAAAAGAATTTTTAAAGAGATTGCAAGGTCATTTATGAATAATGTGAAAAATAGCGGACCTAAATAGCTTCCCTGAGGGACACCAGATGAATCATAAACCAGACAAGACATCTTTAAATAAAACACGTTGCGTTCTACCAGTCAGATAACTTTCAACCCACCTAAGAAGATGAAATGGGAATCCAATTAAGTCGAGTTTATTTACAAGAAGTGAGTGATTTACAGCGTCAAATGTAGTCAGTGTAGATGACATCTGTCTGAAGACTTTTTCGGAACACAGTGATGACATAAGATGTTAATTCGAGTAAGTTTGTTGTTGTAGACCGTCGTTTCATAAAACCATGTGTTTAAAGCTGAAGTCATATCCTTGCATGCGTAGAGATCGCATCAGTCAAAATCAGAAATGAGAATATTATGTTTAAGAAAGTCTGACATGCTAAAACAGCGAACCTTTTTGACAGCCCTAGTAGGCTCAGTGGAGTGGTCCATCATCGATCGCCAGCTCCAGAGTGGGATGATAAAGATTTTCAGGGCGTGCAAGTGGTGGAACCCTAGATATAAATACGGAGTCCGAATCTAAGATAAAGCATAAATCGAGTAACCGACCCAAAGAGTTTTTAACATTGTTAATTTGTTCCAGGGTCATGTCTAACATACCTGCAATAAAATCGTGATGTGAGAAGGATGTTAAAGCTAAACTATTTTCGTTTGTGGACCAGTTAATTTGTGGTGTGTTAAAATCACCCAGAACCACTAGCTGATCCATATCTGATAATAGCGCAAAAACGGACTGTATAGCCGCTACGTGCAACTCACGCGTGGATGGGTGGACTTGGGAGGGATGTAAGAAAACGTAATAAATAAAAACTTACCAGGAAGCGCAAGTTTAACAGAAATGAATTCGATATCGCCGAATAGAAGGTTAATCTCCTCGGATACAAGTTTAGAGTCGACAGAAATTAACACTCCAGCCCCAGATCCGAGTGATCGATCAAGCCTGTATATTACATATCTACTCGGAAAAATTTCAGATCTAAAAATTTTTTCCGAAACCAGCCATGTTTCGAAAAAAACAATTATTTGGGATGCAAAAGAAAAGCTCTCAGAAAACAAAGTAGGAAGCTTAGTAAGCAACCCCCTTGTGTTCTGATAAGAAAGAATGAGAGACGATGTTAGTTTTTTTTTTATGTCACGGTCGATGTTCTTGGACGAAAATGTGTTCCGGCCAGAACTTGCTTGAGCACATTTTGTCAAATTCCACAGAGGGGACGCGAATCTTAAATGATGATACTATTCTGTTATAAGGATATTTAAATTTAGTTATGTCATCCACCTTAATGTCGGCTTTCGTTCTGGCTTGTATGTATGCCAATACGTCTGACTCAGACGTATCCTCGGAAAGCCGGGAAACAAATATATGTTTCTCAGGTGGGATTAACTGTATGCTACTTCTGAAGATAATTAAATATCGGGGTGTAATTTTTTGTTTATAATTTTTATTAATTTCGTAAATATTCATTCTATACCTTCACTACACTTAACGGTTGCCTTGTTGTAGGCCAACAAAAATTATAGGGTACTTGTTCACAGTTCTTAAAATTTAAGTGTTTAACGTAATTTTTCCTAATATGGTTAACAGGTAAGAATAAGATTATACAATTTTGGATATCCAAAAATTGTTTTTACCTATACTACCAAATGTTTACCGTGTTTTTAATCTATAAAAATATGATTTAAAGATAGAAACAATAGTGCGTTTTTCGGTTTCAATTTCAAAAGTAGTTCATTTTTTAAACATTCTTTAAAATATTATCGAGTGCACCTTCTAGGCCTTCAAATATTTCTTAAAAATAACAAATACAAATATTCAAAGATTGTTTAGAAAAACAATTTAAAAATAATTTTTTATCTAGGTTTAAGTATTCATGAGCCATCGATTTACGTCTTTAAGAATTGTGTAAGGAAATCGAACTTCTATGAATCGGTTTCATCTGCAAACCAAAAACCTTCGAGTGACCGAGACTTCAGAGACATGTTCTTGAAAATATATATTGTGCTCTTTTACATGTTGTTGATCTTATGTTTAATATTGCTCAAAAGAATTGTATTTTGCGCGATAATGAGAACTTTAAAACGAATAATCTACACGACTAATTTCTATATGATTTAGTTTTGCGGAGCAGATAAATGAAAAAATGTATGTAGGAAATATTCATTGAAAGTAAATTGAAAAAATTTAGTTGTTAATCACCATCAAGTTAGAAAAACAAAAAAGTTTACTTTAAAAAATTACATATAGCTTTAACATGTGAAATTTCATGATTCATAACCCGTTCCTCATTTGTTTAATCAGACACTTCTTAAGATGAAATGTCACTATACGTGAAGTTTGTTCCGAACAAAGTGTTGCACACTTTCACGGCTACACTGCGACGGGCTATCTTCTTGGATCTCCCGTTAGCGGTGAACTCTTGGTTATCCACAATTATTCCAAGATGTTGCAATACATTGGGCTTATCCCCAGAGGCTCCGTGGTCCACGTAAATGAGCCCAGGGCGCATCTGAAGAAGAATTAATTAGTGATTGTACACAATACTGTGTGGTTTTGCCTACAATGCAAAGAATGGTAGCTGGGTGCATGGTTTCCCAGCCGGAGGGTAACTCGGTGCGCACAAGCGGTTTTTTAGGCTCCTTCGGCATCGCGGGAACAGATGGTGCCGTTTCCCCTCTCGCTGGAGGAGCAGCATTGACCGATGGATGCATCTCGGGAACGACATAGCCTTCGCGCTGCCACTCGGCAAACAATTTGTAAATGGCAAAAGACGCCAGATTTAGCATAGGCAGATCATCCTCCGGCCCGTCAACATCTTCCTCGTTGGTTTCCATGGCTTCTTCTTCGTTTTCACCTTTTCTTGCTTGAAGTCTGGGAGGCTTGGGCGTCATCTTTGCAATGATGAAGTCGCGCCACGCTTTTTCACAGGCAGCATTTTTAGCTGACATCTTTGAAAGACCCTTGCCCTCATATTGATTAGAGTTCACCGTGACTGCCGCAGTTCACCGTGACTGCCGCAGTAAATCCTCCATCGGAATTGCTGTCGATAGTGAAATCGCTAATTGTCACGCCCTTCACCTCGTTGAGGGCCATCAAGGCGTTCTTCGGCAGCATGGACTTTCGCAATTGACAGTTCTGGCGTTGCTTCTTGTCTCGAGTGCGTTCTGAAAATTAATAAAAAAAAAAACAACAAGAAACGCTATAGTCGAGTGCCGCGACTATAAGATACCCGTTAATGTTATACAAAATTTTAAAATATTATTTTGCTAGTGGAAATTCACAAGGCGCCACCTATTGTCAGAGGAAGTATGTTGAGTATGCTTAAGTTGCAGAGGCATCTATTAAATACGTGTCCTAAGCTAAATTTTGTAGCTCTTATAGTTTTCGAGATTTTTGCATTTTTGGTTTTTCGGGTTTTGAGATTTCAGCAATATTAGTTTTTTGCGATTTGTGGGCGTTAGAGTGGGCGTTGCAGGATGCTGTAATAAACGCTGCGCTGCGTAGGGACCTCAAGAATCTTCGTGGTTAATCTCAATTTTGTATCTCTTATAGTTCCTGAGATCTCAGCGTTCATACGGACAGACGGACATGGCTCATTAGTCTTCGCTATTCATCCTGATAAAGAATATATATACTTTATATGGTCTGAAACGCTTCCTTCTACCTGTTACATACTTTTCAACGAATCTAGTATTTCCTTTTACTCTACGAGTAACGGGTATAAAAAGTTGCAACGTTATTGTCAACAAAGTTATAGAGCTTATTGACAAGGACAACTTCCACATAATACCACTCGTAAAGGGCAACATCCAGGAAACAAAAGTTCAAACGAAGTCTGAAGATAATTACAGAGTATTATCGAAATATCTTACCGACAAAAAAAGAACTTTTACACGTATCAGCTAAAATGCATCAAGGGCCTGCAAGTCGTACTTAACGGCATAGAGTCCGAAGTATCGCCTGCAGAGAAAACAAAGGCGCTACAAGAGAAGGGATTTAGCGCTAATACAGTCTTCAATATCCTTAACAGGGATAGAAAGCCGCACCTACTCTTTCAGGTTGAGCTCGAACCAGAAATTAAGCCCCTAAATATATACGAAGTGCACCATATATACAATCTTCAGTTCCTGCTGCACCACAGAATTACTGTTTAGGAGCCGCACAAACGCAATGGCCCGGTACAATGTGCGAACTGCCAAGAATATGGCCATTCAAGGTCTTACTGTAAACTGCGCCTGGTGTGTGTAGTTTGTGGTGAGTTTCATGACGCCGCACACTGCCCAGCGAGCAAAGATGACCACAACTCGAAAAAGTGCGGCAACTGCGGTGGAAATCAAACTGTTAACTATAGAGGTTGCCCAGTTTATAAGGAGCTGAAAACTCGTATCCACCAGAGGGAAATTACTGCCCGCACCCAAAATAAGCAGTTGATAGCCTCCAGGTCAAACCTTGAAGTCTTCTTCTCGGCTGCAGCCAGATCCTCACTAGGACCCATAAACTCTGCCAAAAATGTTACATACGCAAGTGATTTAAAATCAGGACTGGCTACCCCAGCCCCAAAAAGCTCATTGCCGCAATCAGCACACCAAGAACCGAACACGGCTCAGCAGCATCAACCGCCGGAGCAGCCAAAAAGTAACTTTGAAGCTATGATATGCAGTCTACAACAAAGCCTTACGGAGTTTATGTCGTTTATGCGTACAACTATGCAAGATCTTATGCGAAACCAAAATCTATTAATACAAATGCTGGTTTCACAACAATCCAAATAATGACTTCCCTACGAATATCTTCGAGGAACGCCAACGGCGTTTGGCAGCATAAACTCGAGTTAGCGCAATTCCTACTGCTTTCAGAAACACATCTTACACACAGATACAATTTCCAACTACGAGGATATTTATTTTATGGAACAAATCATCTAGATGGTAAAGCACACGGCGGGACTGGAATTTTAATCAGAAGCCGTATTAAGCACCATTATCATACGAAATTTGCTAAAAACTACCTACAGGCCACATCCATAAATATACACCTAAATACTGGCAAGCAATTAACTCTAGCCGCCGTATACTGCCCCCCACGCTTTACCATAGCCGAAGATTAGTTTATGCACTTTTTCAACTCACTCGGAGACCACTTCATAGCAGCAGGAGACTACAATGCTAAGCACACACACTGGGGATATCTCGTCTCGTGACTCCAAAAGGAAAGCAGCTCTATAATGCAATTATCAAAGCTAAGAACAAGCTCGACTATGTTTCTTCTGGCACACCAACATACTGGCCGGCAGACCCAAAGAAACTTCCCGATTTAATAGACTTTGCGATTACCAAAAACATCTAATAAGCGCCAAATCCCTTTCGGATCTTTCATCTGATCACTCGCCTGTCCTTTTTACTCTACTCCGACATCCAGGAACATGGGATCAATCATTAAGACTGACATCACATAACACCAATTGGGTTAAGTACAGGAAGTATATTAGCTCACACATTGAGCTAAGTCCTCACCTCAGCGACGAAGCCAACGTAGACAGTTTTGTTAATTTACTGGAGTCTGTACTCGTCTCTGCAGCTCGAGTTTCAACACCTCAAACTATAAACACACAATGCAATCAAAAGAAGACAAATCTACAAATTGAACAGCTCGTCCTCGAAAAGCGACGCTTGCGTCGAGAATGGCAATTTCACTGATCGCCATCTGCTAAGCAAAGCTTAAAACACGCCTCACGTCAACTTGCTCAAGCTCTACAGCAAGAAGAAACATATGTCCATCGCCGCTACATAGAGCAATTGTCAACTAATAGTACAAAACACTCACTATGGAGAGCCAGCACGTTTGCCTTAAAAATGTCTTCCAACCAACTCCTGCCACTAATGCGTTTACTTTGCCGGCTCTATCATATGAGCCCCAGGCTCAACATGAGCCAATTGAGTTTCGCCCAAACGAAATCGTTAACATCATCAAAAGACAAGTGAATCCGAAAAAATCCCCGGGCTGCGACCCATAACTCCCAAAATGATCATTGAGCTCCCATACTGCGCCGTTTGCACTCTCACCCAGCTCTTTAATGCCATCGCAAAACTTGGCCACTTTCCAGTGAGATGGAAAAAGTCAATTATAATAATGATAGCAAAGCCGGGGAAAGACCACACTATCCCCATGTCATATAGACCTATAAGCCTACTCTCTTGCCTATCCAAACTCTTTGAAAAATGCCTAATGACTCGGATAAACACATACCTGAGAATCCAGGAAGGAATCCCGTCACACCAATTTGGGTTTCGTGAAAAGAATGGAACAATTAAGCAGGTCAACCGGATAACATCAGAAATTCGAAACGCTTTCGAAAAACGAGAGTACTGTGCCATATTTTTAGATGTCTCTCAAGCATTTGATAGAGTCTGGCTAGAAGGTCTAATGTACAAGATCAAGACAATGCTCCCCTACAGCACCCACAAGATTTTAGAGTCTTACCTTCACGACAGAAAATTTGTTGTGAGGTGCAACACTGCTATATCTGATGATTACACTGTTGGAGCTGGAGTTCCTCAAGGTAGCGTGCTAGGGCCAACACAATATGTCCTCTACACAGCAGACATCCCGACAAGCACACGACTAACAACATCTACGTTTGCCGATAACACAGATATTTTTAGCCGCTCAAAATGCCCGATTCAAGCAACTGCGCAGCTAGCTCTTCATCTGGTCGATGTTGAAAAATGGCTATCAGATTGGCCAAATTAAAGTGAACGAACTAAAATGCAAGCACGTTACGTTCACTCTGAACAGGCAAAACTACCCGCCGATTACGTTAAACAACACTCAACTCCCACAAGCAAACGAAGTAACATACCTAGGAGTACATCTCGACAGAAGACTCACATGGCGCTGGCACATTGAAGCTAAAAGAACACACCTAAAGCTAAAAGCCAGCCGCCTTCATTGGCTTATCAACGCTCGGTCACCTCTTAGCCTTGAATATAAAGTCCAGCTGTACAACTCGGTACTAAAACCTATATGGATGTACGGCTCCCAGTTAAGGGGGAACGCCAGCAATAGCAACATTGACAATGTTGAGAGAGTTCAGTCGATGATCTTGAGAACAATCACCGGGGCACCGTGGTACGTTCGCAACGAAAACATACACCGCGACTTAAACATTCTACCAGTCAAAGAAGTGATCGCAGACCAGAAGGTAAAGTACTTCACCAAGCTATCGGTGCACCCTAACCACCTGGCAAGAGGCCTAACAAAGTTGAGCAACCAATTACGCCTTCGTCGCAATGACTTACCCACCCGGCGACCGACATGAGGGACGCGCAACCAGAATGCAGTCTTAGTATACTGTTAGTTAAATTTTAATGTTAAGATTCGTCAACTTATTGTTAGTCTCAAAATTAAGAGTAGATTCAGTACATAAAAGAAAGGCTTGTATATAAAAAAAAAAAACGAAACTAGCCATGTTTTAGTAAAAACGATTATTTGGGATGCAAAAGAAAGACTCTCAAAAAACAATGTAGGAAGCTTAGTACGCAACCCCTTGTGTTCTGATAGGAAAGAAGGAGAGAGGATGTTAGTTTTTCGCCGGGGGTTGCTCAGTGGCTTTTGTTTGAGGGAGTTTTACCGCCGCCGGTCGATAAATTTTCTAAAATGTGATCCGGCCAGAACTTGGTTGAGCACATTTTGCCAAATTCCACCGAGGGGACGCGTATCTTAAATGATGATAATTTTCTATTATAATGATATTTAAATTTAGTTAAATTTAGCATCTCATCCATTAAAAGTAAAGCTCAAAACCATAGATTTATTAAATGAAACAACTACATGCACATTATGTATACAATTATTGGTTTCACTAAAAAATTAGCAACGCTGACATACAGCATTATGTGTTCCCCTAATTAGAACCGCCTCCAGTCGGCTCCTGTTGCTTGAGCGTCTTGAGGTTCTTCTCAAAGCGCTCGAACTCGCTATCAGCCATTCTATCCATATCATCAAAGACCTGCTCCACGGATTCCACTTCCGGTATGTAAAACTGCAGCATATTCTGAACTCCATTTTTTAGGGTCACGATGGAGCTGGGGCAAGACGAGCAGGAACCCTGCATTTTAAGTTTGACGACGCCGGCCTCGTAGCCCATAAAAACGATGTCGCCTCCATCCTCCTGTACGGTGGGTCGAATACGTGTGTCTAAAAGCTCTTTGATCATCAATACCGTTTCGTCGTCGTCCTCGAGGATCTCGTTGTTCACATTAGGTTTGTCGTCGAGAAGAACGGGCAAGCCACTGGCAAAAAAGTCCATTATGATGGCAAACACCTCAGGCTTAATCAGGCTCCACTGAGCGCCGTCCTGCTTTGAGATAGTGACGAAGTCGGCGCCAAAAAACACGCCTCGCACGCCTTCCACACGAAACAAAAGTTTTGCTGGGAATTGATTAAAACAAATTAAATTATAATGAAATACAACAAAAAGAAACGGTAAAGTCGAGTGCCGCGACTATAAGATACCCGTTACTGTTTTATAGAATTTTACAGGGTATGTTTACTAACTATGGTGACGTCATTTTCCATGTGAGGCCTTATAATCTATATTTTCTTATAAATAGTGAAATAATGTTTCGATGTTCAAATTTGCGCTACGTAGGGGAGTTCAAGAATCTGTCTGCTTAATCTCAAATTTTTACCTCTTATAGTTCCTGAGACCTCAGCGTTCATACGGACAGACGAAGAGATGGACAGACGTACGGTCAGACGAACATAGCTTAATCGTCTTCGATATTAATCCGGATCAAGAATATATATACTTCATAGGGTCTGAAGCTCTTCATTCTACCTGTTATCATGCATCTAATATACTCTTTTACTCTACGAGTAACGGGTATAAAAATAAATTCTAAGGAATTATTAGGACTCTGTTAACATTCTCTGTTAATTAAAGAATAAATATAATAGCAACAAAAATGACATCTTTAATTAAATATAATGTATATGCTGGAAAGTATGTAACAGCTAGAAGGAAGCGTTTCCGACCCTATAAAGTATATATATCCTTGATCAGGATCAATAGCGAAGTCGATTGAGCCACGCCTACTCTAACGCCCACAAATCGCAAAAAACTAAAATCGATTAAATCTCAGGAACTATTAGAGCTAGAAAGTTGAAATCTTTCTTAATTATTAGATGCCAGCGCATCTTATAGTGGTACTATTATCCGGCCACACCCACCCATACGCCCAACAGGCTCAAAAAACGGTTTTCGCACTTCTAGAAAAGCTGATATCTCGGTAACTATAAGAAATAGAAAGTTCGGATTAAGCATGAAGGTTTTTATGATGCTCCCAATGCGAATTGTTTTTCGATCAAGCCACGGCCACTCCAACGCCCAAATAACACGAAAAATTAAAAATGCAAAAATCTCGGAAACTATAAGAGCAACAAAGTTGTGCTTAAGAATACGTTTTTAACAGATGTTACTGCAACTTACCACGAGGTTTCATCCAACCACGCCCATTCTAACGCCCACAAACCGCGGAAAACTGTGGCGTCTATAATATTATTATGAATGCCTTCATTTGACCTTGTATAACTTATTTTTGTCAATATCTATCGATTTACCTAAGATTTTTGAAATCTGAATATTATTTCGCTAATTATGAAGAAATTTAGGTTATAAGGCCTCACATGGTTTATGATGTCACTATCAATTACTCAACATGCTTCCTCTGACAATACGTGGCGCCTTGTGAATTTCCACTAGCAAAATGAATATTTTTAAATTGTGCAAAACAGTAACGGGTATCTTATAGTCGTGGCACTCGACTATAGCGTTTCCTCTTGTTTTTTATATCCGTTACCTAGAAAGTAAAAGAGTAATTTATGTTTCTAGAATTCATTTAAACACTCATATCTCAAATGTACGTACAGATTTGTGTGTATCATAATAGTGCGGGACTCTACACCAGACAAAAAACAATTTCAAAAATCGACGTAAAATTATAAATCTTTAAAGATACTTTGTAGAGGATAGTGATAAGGCGAAATACATACATTGATATCATTATATTCGTACATATGTATATGTACATATTGATTTGTTCTTTTTCTAAAGACTGTAGAAGGTTGAGAAGGCAACCTCGGGCAAAAGAAGTGCTGGCCGGCGGTTTCGTGAGAGAATCACCGACCTAACCTTCTGGCGTAATGAGCTGAATGCGGAGCTGGAAAAGCTGATAGCAGAAATGTCGGACATCAACGAGCTGCAGCGACAGTGCGGTAAGGCGCTCCTTGACCTGTAGATTCCACTGCACATCGCCCAGAAGTGCCTCTTTCACCGGGAGTCGCGACAGGGCACCGATAAGGTGCACGACATCGCCGAGAAGGCACTCCTTGTCGAGATCAATAACCTTAGGAAGAAGATACGCGAAGCACGACGACGACGACGTGGCCCACAGAAGTCCTGGCTAGGAATCGACTCCATGTGCCATCAGCTAAACCACAGTTGTGGCATAACCTACTATGGCGGCATCGAGAAGTTCGATCACTCGGTCAGCACCCAGGAATCCTGGGCTCAGGCAAGCAGCAAGCACGTGCGCCGGCAAGTGCTTTTGGAGAGTTTTTAGTTGGATAAAGATCATTCAGCAGGCAGGGTAAAGTATTAGGTTATATAGAATTGTCTGAATTTTTTGATTATACCATCCCAATCACGAGACTTCATTTTTTTGGGGCATTTTTAAAAAATGAAATTTTCATTAAAAACGAGCTAAATAGTTTGATATTAGAAGAAAGGCAAAAAATCCGTGTTTCAACTCAAAACTCATTTGTCGACTCCCCAGAAGCATAAAAAAGTCAAAGAAAAAATTACTAATTAAGATTTTTATGTTAGCCTAAATTAACTTCACCAAATAAGCTACGGCATAAGAAATACTCAGAATTATGTTTTTGTTTTTTAACTCTCTTGAATTGATGTTTTAAACACTTAATACCTAAAATAATGTGGCAGGGTGCCAAACTTGCGCTGCGTATGGATCTTCAAGCTTAAACTCAACTTTGTATTTGTATCAGACGGACAGGCGAACAGACGGACAGACGGGCGTGGCTCAATCGACTTCGCTATTGATTCTGATCAAGAATATACATACTTTTTAGGGTCGGAAACGCTTCCTTCTACCTGTTGCATACATTTCAATATTCAATATTGCCTTTTACTCTCTACTAACTACAATGGCTTACTAATGTAGAAACCTGCAGTATACAGTAAATACAGTGGATCCAAGCTTATTTCGTGCAAGAAAAAATCGAATTTTTAATTTGATACTGCTACTAAACCAGCAGAGATATCAAAAAAATTTAAACGCAGTAATGTTAAGAATGTCGCATATTATTAAAATAATAACAAAAGTTTTTACTAATTTAAAAAACAAAAGAATTTTTCATACAAAAACTAAAAAATAGGACAACTCCGACGCACAAGCGTCCCAAGGTATCGGGATCTAAAATAGTTGCGGAGATTGAGAACGAAATTGGCAACAAATATTGCCCAGGTACAGTTCGAAGCACTTAGCATAACCACCACACTAATGGTCGAGTTTCTAGAAATAAGACCTTCTTTAGTGCTAAAAATAAGTTGGCACGCGTCAAATTCGCCAAGGAACTTGAAACTCGTCCGATTTTGGTCTGGAACGACGTTATATTTGTGGACGTATCCAAATGTAATATATTTGGGTCCCATGGGAGGAAATATGTTTTGCGGCGTCCCAATACAGAGCTACATTCAAAAAACAAAAAAGCAGCGGCTAAGCACGGCGGTGGTCATGCTATAGTTTGGGCATGTATGACTCTGTCCGGCGTCGGAAATTTGGTTTTTATTGACGGAATCATGGATGCCAATAAATATTTAACTATTTTGAAAGAAAATTTGGTGCAAAGCTTGGGGTTTTCCCTCACTTTTGGGACAATACGTCTCTCCTCCTGGTCATAAAAAATTTTGTTCGGTGCATTACCGCCCCTTTCTGCCACCCGATTTTCGCAAAAAAGCGTTTGGGTTATGTATGGGTTTGTACTAGGGCTTGAGGCAACCATTTCCTGGGTTTTCCCATCCTTAAAATGTTTAAGGACTAATTCGCTTTGCTCAATAACTATTGACTATTATTCGTGGCGCCATAGTTTGAAAATCCTCGTTAATCCGTAATTTTTGGGTGCGCCCAGCCTCGAAAACTTATAAATATGCTTTTGTTAATATATTTTTACTAGTATTAAGAAAAAAAAATGGATTTAAAAGTCCTAGTTTAGAGTTATTAACCGTTAAAGTGCTTGCACGAAATAAGCTTGTGCGTCGGAGTGGCCCTATTTTTTAGTTTTTGTATAAAAAATTCTTTTGTTTTTTAAATTAGTAAAAACTTTTGTTTTTATTTTGATAATATGCGACATTCCTAACATTACTGCGTTTAAATTTTTTTGATATCTCTGCTGGTTTAGTAGCAGTATCAAATTAAAAATTCGATTTTTTTTGCACGAAATAAGCTTGGATCCACTGTACATATGTATGTATGGATGTACATATGCGCTCAGTTTTTTGTGTTTTCGGGAAACTGAAGAATATGCGACTTAGTTCTTAAAGGTTGGTAACATAGTATTAGTTCATTAATAAAATATATATTTTTAAGAGGGATATCAGTATAAATTTAGTAATCTTAAAGCCACTCTTGTTATATTCCTGCTAACTTTGTTTGTTTTTATAACCAAAATGGAATCCTTTAAGGAGGTCCTTAAGATATCTCAACTCACCCAAAGGACTGTTGTGGGCTGTGGTTCCGTTTGGAAAGTCGTAGGTGTTTCCCTTTCCAAGGACTTCAACGCCGGGCAAAAACTTTAGGCTGTCAGGATTTGGAGTGTCCTGGGTCTGGATGAACATGAACCTTTTATCAGCCGTCGCCAGTTGCATCTGCAAAAGTCCACGTCCTTGACTATGCCCATATCCCGGACTCAGTTGCGCTGGTTCCAGATTGTTACGCATGGACGCAACACTCGCAAAATGTCGCATCCTGGAAATTGTGAAGAATCGGTTATCCCGGTGGTCATATGGTACCCAAGGGAATACTGACAGATGCCGCGAGCCAAGGCGAGTATTGCGAAGGGTTTTAGCAGCTAATTGAGACAGAAATTTAGACATTCTCTATTATGCGATTAATAATGAAAACTAAAACTCAGCTGGCATTGTACTGCGTGGCAACCTTGTTTTTCGGGGTTTTTCTTACACCTAATAGTGGAAAACTTGAATATCTAGCTTGGACTCAAACCATACCACTCTACCACTTACATACATATGTATGTATACATTTTAAAAAATTCAAGTGGTCTATAACAGAACTCTCTATTCTCCTTGCTGTTATAGCGCATATATGTAGAATACATATACAGGGCAGTGAGTACAAGTCGATATATAGTATGACATGACACTGTTTATACAATAAAAAAGAACACTTTTTGTTAAATTTAAAATTTTTAAAAATATGTTTTTTCAAATGTTTAGAAAATTTTATTTAATATACATACATAGAGATATACAAACATATGTAACATATTAAATATAATTTTTAAAACATTTGCAAAAACATCGACAAAACTTTGTAAACACAAGTTTACACACGTTTGGCAGTGTAAGTTTCCATTTGTTTAAATAATATGTGTGAACATAAAATTTTATGAAAAATTTAAATACTTAAATTTAAATATTGAAAATGTACCAATATGAAAAAAATGTACCAGTTTTGGTACATTTGTACAACCGTGAGTGTATGCAATTGTTTACATAGATATGTATGTACATTCATATGTGTTTATCGTATTCTGTTGTGATCATATGAAAAATGGTACTTTACCGCTAGCGATGCTTTTGCATGTGTATGTACATGTACACATACATATGTAGACCAACAATTCCCCAAAAATTGTTTGGGATTCCTAGAATTAAGTCTCTAAAAGAGTACTCTCTACCTAAATAAAAAATAAAATCTACTCAATGACAAAAAAAACTATTATATTGTGGTGAAACTTTTTTTTTTCATTTCTTTCTTTAGAAACTATTTTTTGGTTATTTTTTTTATATGTTATCAAATTTGTCCTACCCAGTCCCTCTTGGACGAACGACGGAAAACAATTGTTGACGTTCATCAACCTGGCCTTATCCACTTCGGACAATTTATGTTGATAAACGTTAGGCTTTGGATTCATATCAGTTGATACTAGTTCAGATATATTATATTTAAATTTCGAGGTAACAAATCGTAGAGTTTCCAAAAATCAATCCCCAAATATAAGTCTTGTTTTAAAAAGGGTACTATATAAATTTGCATTACCTTTATACCTTTTCCGTATTCTACTTCAACTTTACAATATCCTATAATTTGTTGCGCTCTTTCATCTGCTGATGAAGCACTACCAGCTAAGGCTTTATATTTAATACTTGTTTTTAACTCGACTTAGCGCAGACGCAACTAATGGATGCCCCTGAGTCTAATAACCCATAGACAGTTCGATTCAAAAACATAATTGGTACAAAAGGTCGCGGATCGCATAGCCCTGCTGGCAAAGAATTAATGTGCTGAAGGCCTTTTCATACCCGTTACTCGCAGAGTAAAAGGGTATACTAGATACGTTGAAAAGTATGTAACAGAAGGAAGAAGGAAGCGTTTCCGAATATATATTCTTGATCATGATGAATAGCGAAGTCGATTGAGCCACGTCCGTCTGTCCGTCCGTCTATCCGTCTGTCCGTATGAACGCTAAGAGCGCAAGTCTATTACAGCATCCTGCCACGCCCACTATAACGCCCACATATCGCGAAAAACTAAAATCGCTGAAATCTCAGGAACTATTAGAGCTAGTTGAAATTCAGTATGTATAATCTTTAGATGCCAGCGCATCTTATAGTGGTAAAATTACACTATAAGATTCGTGGTATTACACTATAAGATTAAGTGGTACTGTACTACTACCACACCCACCAAACTCAAAACACGGTTTTCGCATTTTCTAGAAAAGCTGATATCTCGGTAACTATAAGAGATGCGAATTGTTTTTTTCCACCATCCATTTTTTCCATCAAGCCACGCCCACTCTAAAGCCCACAAAACATGAAAAAACAAAAATGCAAAAATTTTGGAAACTATAAGAGCTACAAAGTTGTGCTTCAGAATAAGTATTTAAGAGATGCCACTGCAACTTGCCACGAGGTTTCATCCGGCCACGCCCACTCTAACGCCCACAAACCGCTGAAAAATGTGTGTCCACAAACGTAACAAAAAACTTTCCTAACTGATATTCAATCGTGGTATCTATGATCTTCCTTACGGCAATTCCAACACAAAAGGGAGAAAGCTTATATGCTTGCCTCATCTTTGGATTGTTTCTCAATGTCGCCATCATCCCTACTCTGGCGAAACTGAAGCCGCAAAGCTGAACAAAAGCTATCTAATCGGATTTCGACATTTGCCTTATGCTATCGCCAATAGAATTCTTTGGCTTTACCCTCAAAAAGGACGCTTGCATTTTTGCAAAGTACAGTGTAGTTGTTTGCTAACGTCTAGTTAGTGCTTCAACTCTATATATGAAGTTTTCTACCGACACTCCTTTTCCGGAATATTTTATCTTCCAGCCGTTTAAAATATGCAATACTTTTCGGAATCCCGGAATTTTCTGTGCATATCCCATTTTGTAACCTTTCCTCTGATAAGGGTAACCACGGCTGCCTCATTCCCGAACTGTGATTTTGAGTATCTAAAGTCCTAGTTAGATCGTCGGCTACCGAGTTTTGGACTATCTCTGACATCTTTTCTGAAAGTGACTCTAACAATCTTCGCTCCAAAGCTAGCAACGTTATGGCGTTGGCCGAAATATTGCTATCGTTGTTGTATATATATTAGTAGACAAAATAGGCATCTTTCGAGATGTATACCGATTTGACCCATTTTGAAATTAAAACCATTTAAAAACGGCAATTTTCTCTCAGGCACCCCCGCAACAAATACTTTATTGATTAACTGTATGCTACTTCTGAAGATAATTAAAGATCGGGGTGTAATTTTTTGTTTATAATTTTTATTAATTTCGTTAATATTCATTCTATACCTTCACTTCACTTAACGGTTGCCTTGTTGTAGGCCAACATAAATTATAGGGTACTTGTTCACAGTTCTTAAAATTTAAGTGTTTAACGTAATTTTTCCTAATATGGTTAACAGGTAAGAATAAGATTATACAATTTTGGATATCCAAAAATTGTTTTTACCTATACTACCAAATGTTTACCGTGTTTTTAATCTATAAAAATATGATTTAAAGATAGAAACAATACTGCGTTTTTCGGTTTCAATTTCAAAAGTAGTTCATTTTTTAAACATTCTTTAAAATATTATCGAGTGCACCTTCTAGGCCTTCAAATATTTCTTAAAAATAACAAATACAAATATTCAAAGATTGTTTAGAAAAACAATTTAAAAATAATTTTTTATCTAGGTTTATGTATTCATGAGCCATCGATTTACGTCTTTAAGAATTGTGTAAGGAAATCGAACTTCTATGAATCGGTTTCATCTGCAAACCAAAAACCTTCGAGTGACCGAGACTTCAGAGACATGTTCTTGAAAATATATATTGTGCTCTTTTACATGTTGTTGATCTTATGTTTAATATTGCTCAAAAGAATTGTATTTTGCGCGATAATGAGAACTTTAAAACGAATAATCTACACGACTAATTTCTATATGATTTAGTTTTGCGGAGCAGATAAATGAAAAAATGTATGTAGGAAATATTCATTGAAAGTAAATTGAAAAAATTTAGTTGTTAATCACCATCAAGTTAGAAAAACAAAAAAGTTTACTTTAAAAAATTACATATAGCTTTAACATGTGAAATTTCATGATTCATAACCCGTTTCTCATTTGTTTAATCAGACACTTCTTAAGATGAAATGTCACTATACGTGAAGTTTGTTCCGAACAAAGTGTTGCACACTTTCACGGCTACACTGCGACGGGCTATCTTCTTGGATCTCCCGTTAGCGGTGAACTCTTGGTTATCCACAATTATTCCAAGATGTTGCAATACATTGGGCTTATCCCCAGAGGCTCCGTGGTCCACGTAAATGAGCCCAGGGCGCATCTGAAGAAGAATTAATTAGTGATTGTACACAATACTGTGTGGTTTTGCCTACAATGCAAAGAATGGTAGCTGGGTGCATGGTTTCCCAGCCGGAGGGTAACTCGGTGCGCACAAGCGGTTTTTTAGGCTCCTTCGGCATCGCGGGAACAGATGGTGCCGTTTCCCCTCTCGCTGGAGGAGCAGCATTGACCGATGGATGCATCTCGGGAACGACATAGCCTTCGCGCTGCCACTCGGCAAACAATTTGTAAATGGCAAAAGACGCCAGATTTAGCATAGGCAGATCATCCTCCGGCCCGTCAACATCTTCCTCGTTGGTTTCCATGGCTTCTTCTTCGTTTTCACCTTTTCTTGCTTGAAGTCTGGGAGGCTTGGGCGTCATCTTTGCAATGATGAAGTCGCGCCACGCTTTTTCACAGGCAGCATTTTTAGCTGACATCTTGGAAAGACCCTTGCCCTCATATTGATTAGAGTTCACCGTGACTACTGCCGTAAATCCTCCATCGGGATTGTTGTCGATAGTGAAATCGCTAATAGTCACGCCCCTCACTTCGTTGAGGGCCATCAAGGCGTTCTTCGGCAGCATGGACTTTCGCAATTGACGGTTCTGGCGTTGCTTCTTGTCCCGAGTGCGTTCTGCAAATGAATAAAAAAAAAAGTCGAGTAATTTGTTTGTAATAAAAACTGGCATATGAGAGTTTAAAACGTAAGAGTACATTTAGTGTAATTAAAACTAATAAAACATGCAAAATGAACCCTAATAGTAGTTAAAAATAATGAACGCTATAATCAAGTGCCGCGACTATCTGATACCTTTTATCAATTTTAAACTACTTATGCTGTCAGAAATTAAATTGAATAACAAAATAAATAACAAACAAATATTCGGTAAATTTATAGGTATTGACAAGAAATATACAGTGATGGAAAAAATAATAGAAACGATTTTTCACTTTGGGTTTGAATACGTATTTTTAATAAGGATATTTTTATTTTTTTTATTTATATACATCTATCTTACATACTAAAAAACAAAAATGAATTTAACTTTATTCATTTAGCTAAAAAAATATATTTAAGTCAAATTTTATGTTTTTGACTTGGAAATAAAAATAGAAACGAAGTGACTTATCGTCATCCAAATTGACTAGCTTTGCAAAATTAACCATGAAATGTTTTCAGGTTTAATATTTTGTTGCATTACCGCGCAGACATACATATATAGAATCAACTAACTTAAATGTTACTCTACGACAAACAGGTATATAGAGTGGGTGTGACTGGATATTAAATAAGAAACACTATAGTCGAGTGCCGCGACTATAAGATACCCTACTGTATTACACAATTTTAAAATATTCATTTTGATAGTGGAAAGTGGACAAAGCGTCACCTTTTGTCAAAAAAGCATGTTTCCCAAATGATTGTGATGTACGGCCTTATAACCTACATTTCTACATAAATATCGAAATAATGTTCCGATTTTAAAAATTTTGGTAAATCGATAGATGTTGACAAAAATATGTTATACAAGATGAAACGAAGACATACATTTTAATATTATGGACGCCACAGATTTCCACGGTTTGTGGGCGTTGCAGAATGGTGAAATAAACTTGCGCTGCATATGGATCACAAGAATCTGTCTGGTTAATCAACATGCTCAGCGTTCATACGGACAGACGGATATGGCTTAATCAACTTAATATACCCTTTTATTCTATGAGTAAGGGGTATTAAAATAATATTAAACGCGCAGACATTCATATATGGAATCAACTAACTTAAATTTTACTCTACAAATGACAGGTATACTTTCAAAAACTCTGCTGAATATCCTAACAGCTTTGCACTTAAATTACTAGGTCAAAAGTTCATTTATGCTTACCAGAGGACTTCTTGCGTTTTTGAAAGATCTTCTTAAAGGGGATCTTTCCGCCGATACCACTTCCTTTCTCTACGCTGATGTCTATAGATAACTCCTCGTTGCGTCCATCTTCCTCGGCAAATACCTCTGTTGGCTCCTCCTTGACGATAATTGGCATGGGTAGCTTCGCGGAGATGGCAGCTGCGTCCGGCACCCTCTTCTGGACAGGCTCAGCCGCCACTGAAACTGGGTCAGTAGCCGGCAGCTCATGATCAGTTACTGGAGTGTCCTGATCCTTTTTGGCATCAATGGACTGCAATGGCTGTTGAATCAAAGGCTTGTCGATGGCATTGGGGTTCTGCGTTTGCAAAAGAGTTTAATTAGCGAATTAGTTGGCAAAGGTTTCTGCCTGTTTTCGTCGCTAAATTCCGCCGGGCAACATCACTTTCAGCGTGCTGATCCACATGGTCAACAAAAATAGAGACTCGCTTGGCAACGGAAACCATCAAGTCGTCAAGTAAACCGGATGCGTCATGCTGGTCTGCTGGTCTACTAAAAACCATAGTTCAGGATGTAGCCATGGCCATTCCTGCGACCCGAGTGCCCAAAAGGAAGCCACGAGTCCGATTACTGTGGATTCTCCGGTCATAGCATTCAGCCAAGGATCTCATGATCTAGTAACTCGATGTAAGGCCGACAAAACCACTTTGCAACTGAATAATTTCTGTTATTACTTGTTAAGCAAAACTTTCTCTATACATTCCAAAATACGAAATGAATTCATCCATGATTGAAGTTAAGGGTAAAAGTTAAATGACAATGAGTTATAGAATCAAAGCAATCGCTCTTGCAACTTTAAAACGAAAAAAACATAAAAAAAAATTAAATTGACTCTTGTAGTCTTTTGGGGTCTTGTATTCCTTGGCTGTACTTATGCCGGCGCCTTGTTTCGTGCACTTTCGGTGGAGTGAATGGACATTGCTATCTGACGCAAAACTAATAATTTTAGTTACAATTTCGGGTGAATGCATTTTCAGTAGTCATAAAAGTTAGCGATAACCGCAAGCTCAGCTATAAACTACCGCAGTACTGGTCATATCCAATTGTCAGAAAAACGAGCAGAGTGAAATTATGAAATTTGTGGATAAACCCGAAGAGAGAGATTTAAGATATAGGTGTAGATGAGGAATATACAGTTAAATATATATGGTGGAAGGCGATAAAATGATCATGGTTTCTGGTGGAACTCGAACAATGGTCTGCACTTCCGGTTAACACGCTTTTTGTGGCTACTGCAAATGTTTTCACAATTGGGTGAATACACACACTTTTATTTTATGCTCTGCAAATTAAATGAAAACGGAATCTCTGTTATTGTACAAATCAAATATGCATGATTCTAACTCAATTATTTTTTTTCACTTCGGTACAGTTTGTGGTGACGTCAGAACGCACCCAACAGATACACACATTTTTCCAAACAGCACGCAATTTGCACTGCGGCAATTGCAAAATAAAATCGGTTGGTACAAAGCCGAATTAAATACAAAATGAGACTTACGTAAATACCACCGGAGACGAATGATTTATTATTTGCAGCATTAGGACGTCGAGCTCGCTTCATCTTGACCTGGCTTCCGATTTTTCTCGCTTACGGCAAGTTGAAAAAAAGAGTTAAAAAGTGGGAACGTCGCTATAGTCATGAAAGATCTCGAAAAAAATAATCTCTACGTAATATGCACTACGAAAAACTACTAAAAATATACCAAAATACCAAGCACATATCTGATGTCCGTCAAAATAGCGTTGGTGATATATCGGTGATGGTGGAATACTTAGCCAGATTTTATACCCGTTACTCGTAGAGAAAAGAAGTATGTTATATTCGCTATTTTTATGCAGCCATGTCCACTATAACACCCATAAACCTCTGAAAACTATGGCGTCCATAATTATATAATAATGTCCTCGATTTACCCTGTTTAATATTTATAGTTAATATCTATTGATTTACCAAAGACTTTTCAAATCGGAATAATATTTCGCTATTTATAAATTTAGGTTATAGGGCCTCACATGGACAGTGACGTCGCCATCAGTTACTCAACATGCTTTTTCTGACAAAAGGTGACGCTTTGTCCATTTCCAGTAGAAAAGTGAATATTTTAAAATATCAAATCAATATCAATATCATCAATAACAGGTATCGTATAGTCGCGGCACTCGACTATAGCGTTTATTCTTGTTTATTTTTTATTCAAAGTGTGCAACTTTAAGGTACCAAAATTCTGTTATATTGTTAGTATTTTCTATTTCATAATATTTTTCTTCTCGTCCTCGAATAGCAAATGGCTAAAAAAATTATAACAATTCCAGTGTTACATATTCCACCGTTCCGACATCGCCGATGATAGCTTCACAAACAATCATCTTCGATTGGTTTTCTATTAATATTTTTAAAAATGTCACATTTCATAGTTGGGTTACAAAATGTAATGTAATAATTAATAGAGGTGTGAAGTTATCTATGCAATTATAAGGGAATTCAAATGCTCCAACTAAACAACTTTTAAATTAATCACTTCTTTTCAGATTCAATTATCTGCAGTCCCACGCTTTGTGTAAGCGTTCGCATTTTTTAGCTTGTGCATTTAGCCCTACACCTGAATTAGTCATCACACTTCTTGCACCAAAAACATCCGTTAAGAACTAGTACTAGTAATCCTTTCGGTCTAAGCTAGTTGTCTACTAAATATCTCCCGAAATTGTATCGCTCAGAATCTTTTTATTTCATCATTGCACTGGATCATTGCATTATGAACTCTGTTCAAAATAAATTAAAAAGAATTAGATATAGCTGAATTAAAAGCTTCTAGCCAAGGTTTAATGTAAACATTAAAAAAAAATTAGTCCTTAGAATCATGAAATGTATAGTAAAATAATGCTGAAATCATAGTAAGTGAATTTAATCCAAAAGGTTAACACTAAAGTTTGAAAAAAATAAAATTATATTCTTTTGAACAAAAATTACCCGAATAAAATAATGTGCATCACACAATATGCGTGATTCTCAAGTTTATTCTTTCATTATACGAGGTGTGTTCAAAAAGTAAGGTGACTTTTCAAATTTCGCGGGCAACATATTTTCGATTATCGTTTTTTTTGTTTTGTTATATTGGTACACTCTTCCCTAACATCTGTACCAAGTTTCAATGGAACATCCTCTTTTGTTTGGTTGTGAGAGGCGTAAAGGTACAAGTTGTTTTGCGAGCTCGGCGATTTTTTGCTTTTTTCGGTCTTGGCTCGTCTGGGCTCTTCCATTGGGACGATTGGGCTTTGGTTTCGATATCATAACCATATACCCATGATTCGTCACCAGTTATGACCCTTTTGAGTAAATCTGGGTCGTCGTTGACGTCATTCAACAGCTCTTGAGCGATGCTCATGCGACGGTTCTTTTGCTCAAAATTCAGCAATTTCGGAACAAACTTCGCTGACACACGACTCATACCCAAAACGTTTGAAAAAATTTCATGGCACGAGCCAAGCGATATACCGACATCTTCAGCAACTTCTCTGATAGTGATTCGACGATTTTCCAAAACAATTTTCGTCACTGCTTGAACGTTTTCATCAGTTGTTGACGTGCTTGGGCGTCCAGAGCGAGGCTGGTCATTGGCATCTTCCCGGCCATCTTGGAAGAGTTTGTACCACTTGTACACATTTTTTTTACTCAGAACAGTTTCACCGTATGCCACTGTCAACATTTCAAGTGTTTCAGAGCACTTAATTTTATTTTTTACACAAAATTTGATGCAAATCCTTTGATCCATATTTTTCGATAGCAAAAAATCGCCGAGCTCGCAAAACAACTTGTACCTTTACGCCTCTCACAACCAAACAAAAGAGGATGTTCCATTGAAACTTGGTACAGATGTTAGGGAAGAGTGTACCAATATAACAAAACAAAAAAAACGATAATCGAAAATATGTTGCCCGCGAAATTTGAAAAGTCACCTTACTTTTTGAACACACCTCGTATATTGAGGAATATGTACATTTTAATAATTTAATTACTCATATGAAAGACATATGTACATATGTAGATTTCAAGAATATATTTTAAACATGAAACAAGAAGATGGGCTATAGTCGAGTGGCTCGACAATACAATTTTAAAATGTTAATTTTGGTGGTAGAAATTGACGGAGCAAACGCTGTTTTTAAAGAAAAAACTTGTGACGCCGATCTGAATCCCGGGAGTTGTTTCTAACACTTGGCTCTTTACCGAAACAAGAAAACACTAGACAAAGCGTGTGTGCATGGATGTTTTATTCTGTTGGGGAAATTTAACCTACAAATAACGTCAACTTATAGCTGGGAAACAATTGATGGCACTATCGAGCTATCGAAGATTTGGATTTGGGAGGCGATATCGATGGCTTGCCAACGGAGCTTCCGAAACCATCGACAATATCGAATTGCGTCACCATCGATAGTTTCCCAGCTCTAGTGTCTGTGGCACCAAACTTAAAGTAGTTTTAGACCACAATCAGTGTGACCAGATATAAACAAAGTGTAAACCGCGAATACAATTCAAGCTGATTGACTATCGATACTTATCAGGCTGCCTCATCCGTTCCGCGGCATCTCCACCCGCAGCCACATTTACCACATGCAAGACAGCTAGCTTCGAAGCGGGACAAATCATCCTTGCTCGATCGTCAGTCCGTACCGTCGCTCGTCTGGGTACTCAAACTATTCCAGTGAACATCTGCGCACAAGAGTAGGCAAATAGTCGTGCACCCATCGCTTCCAGAAGCGGTCTCTCATCATTCTGGCCAGTCGCTACTGCTTTTTCGTGGCGCATCTCTCCAACGACTGTCCATCGGTAGATTCGGTACTCCTTTCAACAAGTCGTTGGGAGTCAGTGGGGATTCTTGATCCACTGTGACTGGCAAGTGCGTTAGTGGGCAGGAATTGATTATGTTTTCCGCCTCGATCAACAGGTTATCCAGAACGTGTTCCTTGGGGGCCAGTTCCCTCATCGTATGGGCCAGCACCTTCTTGACGCACTGGACCATCCTTTCCCAAGCGCCACCCTCAGCTGAGTTCGCCGGACAGTTAAAGATCTATTCGACTTCTTTCGACGATAGCTTGCCCTGGATCTTCCCTGGCTCGAAAATATCGTTGACTCTTCGGGCCTCTCCCTTGGCTCCAACGAAGTTTTTCCCATTCTCCTCATTTTGACCACCGGTCCTCGCCGGCTTATGAAGTTCCTCATAGCGACGATGCAGGAATCTGTCGATAAATCATGGGCCATCTCCAAGTAGATGGCCCTTGTGGTTAATAGGGTGAACAATGCCACCCACCTTTTCTCGATGCGGCGTCCAATCGTCACTTGCAACGGTCCAAAATGATCCAAGCGTGTGTACATAAAAGGCCATCAGTTGGCTTTCAGTCTGTCCTCTAGCAGGGGACCCATTATTGGCTGCATCGGTTGTGTCCTCCGCAACTTGCAAATGCGGCAGTCGGTCGCCACCTTCCGTAGCAGCCTCCGTAAGCTCGTTATCCAGAACTTCTTCTGTATCTAGGCTATGGTGGCATCCTGGTTCTGATGCCTCATATTCTAGTGGTAGTAGCGTACTACCATCTCCGTCACCGTGTGTCTGTGGCACAGAATAATAGGGCGCCGGGTACTGTAAGGCACGCGACATCGTCGGACGAACCTTAGAACCCAAGCTGTGGTGCTTTATAACCGGTTTTAGGTCGAAAATCTCTATAAAGATATAAAAAACACGTTTGCAGTCAAAGGCAAACTCACATGGCATCTCCTCCTAGTCGGTTGCTTCCGTGCGGCAACTACTTAAGGAACTCTTTGGCCAATTCTTTTCCAGTTTCCGTAGGAACGCCGGTTCGCATAACCATCGTGACCCTTGATTTAGATCGACATGGTGTTGCGTCGTGGTTGCATCGTCTGCCACGTTTTCGGCATACTTCAGTCGACTCAAGGATTTCTGTCGTCCGGTTTCTAATAAACTGCTTGTATCGCCGGTGGGTGCAGCTTATCCAGTGAAGCACGGTCTTCGAATCCGTCCAAAGTACGCATCCGTTAATCTCCATATTGTGTTCCTGTTTCACAGTGTTTATCAGCCGTGTCCCTAGCACTGCCGCTTGAAGTCGTCGGAGCACATTTCGTTTTGGAACAAACGAAATACGACTGCAGATCATCGTTTGCGTAGGTGGCCCTGCCGTTGCAGCGAACGCTGACTGCCTAGAGTCCACGAAGACGTGACTCCCAGGTGACTACTCTCCGCTAAATCTCTCGAATTAGTAGCTTGTGGTAACCATGTAGCTGCTCAAAAACCCGATCAAAACGACGTGGACTTCACTAGGCTGAGGAACTCCCCCGGTCATCACGCTGCTGGGAACCCGATGGCATTTGACACATAAATCTGAAGTCATCTGTGCCCGGATGCCAGTACATGCCCAACACTTTTTGCTCGGATTCAGTCCAATCGACGTTCTCGTTGGTGCCTAGCGGATTTAAGGCTCTGACCACTCTCGCCGAGCTGGAAGAAAACCGGCACAGATCGAATCCGTCGCTTGCATGTATTTCTCTTACCCATTTTGAAACCGCAAAAGCTTCATTCTCGTCTGCGAAGCTGTACGTAATCGTCCACGTAGTGGTACCCATCTATAGCCAGAACCACCCGGGAATCAACGTGCGCGTACCTTGAAGCGCTTACGGCCTTCGCGTACTGCGCTGACCATGGCAAACAAGCTGCTCTAAACGTAATCACTTTCATCTCGTAGATCTCCGGGTCCTTTCGGTTATCTCTATGCCTCCATATCTGTCCTATGGGTGTATTAATACTTGATGGAACATCTCCTTGATGTCCTCATAGACTCCTACGGCTCCTTCCCTAAAGTGGTTGCAACCATGACAGCGTTTTGCTGCTGAATTGGCTGTAGCTCTCGCACGCTCTCCAGTTGACTCCGAATCAATTTCTCAGGACGTCCATATTGTTCCATAAATGTTCTTCCCACTTTCTCATTCTTCCTGCAGTTTCCTTGCTCATTATTAAATGGATGAGGATGGCATTCGTTATCCGTTTGTCATCCCCAATAGACATCAGAGAATCGTAAACTGCTCTAACTGTGTCGATCAGGTTTCTCAATGCTGTAGCTGATGGCTGGGACATTTTCGGAAGATTGAAAAGTAATATCGACTATTGTCGAAGAAAATCAGACACTCATTATCCTTCACCCGCTTCAGGCTAACCGCAGTGATTTGGAATGCCATGACTATGCCTGTATCTGTATCAAATGTTTGAATTTTTCAATATCATGCATATCATAAGTGTCATCTTTGTCGACAAATTTCGAAAAGGCTTATAATATTTTTAAATTCGGAGTGCTTTCCGCTGAAGGTTGGAATAGCAACGCTCGGCAAACGGCATTGGGAAGTGCGCTTCACTGGCGGAGCAGCATCATCGGCAGCATCATTCCAGTTCCTCGCGGAACAAATCCTCTGCGTCTATTGCTTCGATTTGATTCTTAATCAAAGAAGCATTTTCAATGTGCGAATTAAAAATTTATAATCGACTGGACTTAGAGATAGTCGACCCTCTTGTAAATATTGCTTTGTTTGGGATATACTTTGATAGCTTTGCTAGCCATGTTATTGTTTAATAAAATTTTTCAAGAATTGAAGAGTGTGATAAAAAATGTATTTTAATTCGGAAAAAGAATAAAGTAAAAAATAAACAAGACGAAACGCTATAGTCGAGTGCCGCGACTATAAGATACCCGTTACTGTTTTACACAATTTTAAAATATTAATTTTGCTAGTGGAAATTCACAAGGCGCCAGAGGAAGCATGTTGAGTAATTAATAGTGACGTCACTGCCCACGTGAGGCCTTATAATTATTATAATTATTTATTTATTTATTTATTATACAAGGTCAAACGAAGTCATTCAGACGGATAGACGGACAGACAGACGGACGTGGCTCAATCGACTTCGCTATTGATCCTAATCAAGAATAGGGTCG